TTAAGTCATGTAATTAATTAATTGTATAAAAGTTTGTTTAATGTTATTAAAATAAAATTAAAAATTTTGATTTTTACAAAGTGGAAAATTAATTTCATTTTTTTGGTTGACAATTTCAACAAAATATGGTGGGAAATTTCCCTCCAAAAACCAAAAGGAAAAACACATTTTAGATTTAGAATTTAGATATTTTGATTCTTTAATAATTAAATAAACATGTGGTTCATATATTATGCAAAAGAGAAAAAAAAAAAAAAAAAGTGAAACGTGAAACTGTGAAAGACTGAAAGGCAATTAGGTTCTTCATTCATCCTCTTCATTCCACAGCATTCACCGTTATTCTTCTTCATCCTCAAATCGAAGCGTTGAATCCTCACTCACTCTCAAGTTCTCAACTCTCAAGCTCTGAACTCTTAGCCTTCAATAGCTCAAAGGTAAATTTTAGTTAATTGTTTTTGTTTTCGTTTCGTTTTTTTCGATTTTTTTTTCGATCTCTCCATTCTCGTTTTTTTTTTTCATTCTCCAGTTCTCCATCTTCAAATCTTCCTCTCCTTCAAGCCGTCACTGCTCAAAGGTAATTTTATGTTAATTTTTTTGTTTTCATTTCGGTTTTATGTTGCTGATTCGTTGTTTGCAGGATTTGCATGTCTTTTTTTTTTGATTTTTACTTCTGATTTGTTCATATAATTTCATATAATTTCTGATTTGTTCATATAATTTCTGATTTTTTGATGTTGTTCATGTAATTTTTAATTTTATTGTTCTTGTTGTTCATTTAATTTCTGATTTTTTAATTTTATTGTTCTTGTTGTTCATTTTTTGTTATATCTATTTGTGAGGTGTTCTGGCCTTACCAGCTTTGGCTATGCTCAGTTCTGATCAGGGTTGTGGTTGTAGTACCATGAGCAACAATTGAGTTGATTTGGTTACCTTATTCATGCTCGTGGTTTCTTTTCGTGTTATTAATTGTGCTTGGTTTTTTTCAGGCTGCTGTGTTGTTGCTGGTCTGCCTTTGTGACTGTTTGCTGTTTGTTGAGCATTTAAAATGTATGGCTTTGTCTATAATGCTCTATTAGTCTTCAAATATACTGAATGCTATCCTTTGTTCTATCAGCTGCATTGTTCTCTCATTAGTGTTTCTGTTTATGTGGGTTAATGCTGAATGCTAGCAGGATTTTTTTATTTAAGTTTGGGTTTTGTTTTGTTGCAAAAGTGCAAGTGCATTCAGATAGGAGTTGTCTAATAGTGTTTAGTATATTTTAGGACTGAATTGTAGATGGACTACCTCAGCTTAGAGCATGTAGTACTAGCTAGGGTATGTCCTGTGCTGCTGCTGTTCTAATGTCTGGCCAGATCTGCTAGATGTACAAGGCTAGATTGTAGGATCTGCTGGGTGTTTTCTGCCCTGTTCAGAGCAGAGTCTTTCTGGCCATGGTTTGTGCTGTCCTAGTTGATGTCTCTGCTGCAGGCTGGGTGCTGGGGTTGGTTGCTGCTGGTTTTCTAGGGTATTGCAGCTGTGGTTTTGCTGTCGTCTTGTGTTAGCTGGGCTGTGTTGTCTGTCTGTTGCTGGGCTAGGTTGCTGGTGTGCTTTGCTTGAAGCAAGCAGGTCCGGAGCTGCTGTGTTAATTTGCCTATTTTTTTTATTTGCCCTTAATTTGCCTTTTTTTCACTTGATTTATACTGTTGTGTTTTTGTTTTTTCAGCAATGGAGCAAGAGTTTATTGGTTTTGATGAGGATTCTACTGTAAAGAATCAAGATTCTACTGTTCAGAATCAAGATTCTACTCAACGTACCACTAGTGGTAGTAAGCGTGGACGAACATCAGATGTTTGGAGGTATTACACCTTTTTTGATAAGATGGTTGGTCTTGCTCCGATAAAATATGCTCGATGCAATGTTTGCGGTAATGAATATAAAACTCCAGGTAATGCTGGTACTTCAACTTGTAAAGCTCATACTAAGACATGCATGAATAAAAATCCACACCATCCTGGAAATCATGAAAGTGGTGTTGAGCTCCTGTTTAATCAAACACGTCATTTACAATTGCTTGCTAGAGCTATAATTTTGCATTCCTAGCCTTTAAGTATTGTGGAGCATCATGGCCTTAGGGAAGTTTTTACGAATTTGAACCCCAACGTGAATCATGTGTGTAGAAACACTATTTTGAAACATTGTATTGATGAGCATGATAAGTTTAAGTCTTTGTTGTTGCAATCTTTTTCGGGAATTGAAGGTAGAGTTAGCTTCACTTGTGACTTGTGGACAACATGTACTAATCGAGGTTATCTTACTTTAACGGCACATTATGTTGATAAAAATTGGTGTCTTAGGTCTAAAATTCTGAATTTTAGATATTGTGGTCCTCCTCATACTGGTGTTGAGGTAGAAAAATTTGTGTTAAAACTTATTGGGGAGTGGAACCTTCAGGGTAAAGCTTTTGCAATGACTGTTGATAATGCTCGATCCATGGATGTTATGGTTAACCTTTTGAAGAAAGATTTAATGTTGACTTCTCCTCTTCCTTGTAATGGTAAATTTTTTCATATTCGATGTTCAGCTCATGTCTTGAACATTATTGTTCAAAGAGGTTTAAAAGAAGTTGATAGTAGTGTTCAAAAATTGCGTGAGGTTTGTAAATATATTGATTCTTCAGATTCTAGACTCACTCAATTTGAGCATGCTCTTCATGAGGTTAATTGTGTGTTTAATGGAAAGTTACGTCTTGATGTTGTGACTCGTTGGAATGCCACATATACGATGATTCGAAAAGCTTTGGAAGCAAAGGAAGCCTTGAAATTGGTTATTGATAGGTTTATAGGTTATGAATTCAAACTTTCGAATGATGAATGGGATACCCTTACTAAAATATGTAATTTCCTAAAGCCATTTCATGAAATCACTGTGTTATTTTCTGGTTCAGAATATCCTACTGCAAATTTGTATTTTGCTAGTGTTTTAAAAATTGAGCACACAATAAGTAAAGCCCATATAGATCCTAAACTTGCACCCATGGCAAAAGTTATGCTTGAAAAGTTTGAGGGCTATTGGGATGAATATAGTTTGATCCTATCAATTGCTATTGTTCTTGATCCTCGTTATAAGCTTGTTCGAGTGATGAAGATGTTAAAAGTGCTTTATGTTGATGAGGCATGTGTTGAAAAGGCGAAGGTGATTAAAGATGCTCTTTTGGAGTTGTATAACTTTTATTCTTCTTTGTCTTCCGGTTTTACATCAAGTACAAATGCTCCACCCTCCATCCCAGCTGTTATCGAAAATTCAAATAGTCACTTGGATGATGATATATTCAAGGTAATCAATTTCTGATTATTGTGGTTAACAAAATTAATAATTTTATGTTTTAATAAAAGCATTTTGTTTGAACTTTTCTAGTATGTTGATAATGATGATGAGGAGGAGGATGACACATCAAATCGGCCATCGATGGAGATTGATTCTTATTTGTGTACTCCTCGACAACCAATTTATGAAGGGCAGAAGTACGATGTTCTTAAGTATTGGGAATCTCAAAGTAGTGTGTACCCCATATTAGCTGTTATGGCTAGGGATGTTTTGGCCATTCCTATTACATCGGTAGCCTCAGAGTCTTCTTTTAGCATGGGTGGTCGTATTTTAAACAAGTATAGGAGTGCGCTTTTGCCTAAGAATGTTGAGGCGTTGGTGACCACACAAAATTGGTTACGTGGTTATGATTGTGATATTGAAGAAGACGTCCTTGAAATTGGTAAAGAAGTGATAGATGAAAGTTTTGCATCTAATTAAGAAGACATGGATGTTGTATTGTAGTGAACTAGTGATGCTTAATATATATTGTGTTGCTTCATTGCTAAAATGTTTTAATCTCATAGAACAAGTATTAATAGTTTTAGTCACATTACATATTGATATGTTGTTCCTTTTTTTATCTCGAGTTATTGGTTATTATTTATGTCCCGCTAAATATTCATCTTGACCTGCAACCGACTCACTTCGTAAATGATCTGCATCGACCCACACTGACCCACCCAATAACCACTCCTAGTAGTAAGTAGTTTGTAAACGGTTCGATTTATAAGGATTCGGTTCATAAACAGTTCGGTTTATAAATGGTTCGGTTTATAAACGGTCCGGTTTGTAAACGGTTCGGTTTGTAAACGGTTCGGTTTGTAAACGGTTCGGTTTATAACGGTTCGGTTTATAACGGTTTTTATGCCAGTTTAAACGGTTTCGGGTTAGAAACGGTTCGGTTTATTTTCGGTTCGGTTTCCTTTCCAGTTCGGTTTAGATTTGGTTCGGTTCTAAAACGGTTTAACATTACTCGGATCGGTTCGGTTTCGGGTTTACTAAAATGCGGTTCGGGTCGGTTTTCGATTTCAAAAAATCGGTTTTTAATCGGTTCGGTTCTCATTCGGATCGGTTTGAATCGGTTCGGTTCGGTTCGGTTTTTGACAGTGCTATATGTTGTAATAAGTAATGGACATGAGATTGGGGTTCTAACCCTAACACATACATGCGCTTAATAATTTTTAATACAGCATGATAAATGTTTTTCTGAAAATTCAGTACATAATAGTTTTGCCACGCGTCTACTTTCGTAATTAAGCTTAGTTTGGAGAATCATCCGACAATTTATTCATTTATCAAGTAATGTAATGGGGTGAAAGAGCTAATTTTGGTACACCTATCTTGAGAGCACAAATTTTTGTACTCGTCCCACTGAAAGTTTTCCCCAAATCAATTTTAGGTGAGTAAATCATTTTCTGTATAGGTCGTAAATTCTTCTAAGGGTTAACCCAACTTTTAGCTGGCTAACAGAGTAACAGTTGTAGGCTTCCTATAACTTAAGTACCTCATATTCACGGTCAGCTACACAAATGGTTGGCAATATTACCTAACTCGTCTGTTTGAAACTATGAAAACATTAGTCTTGTTTTTGGTAACTAAATGAAAGCATTAGTCATACTGAAACAAGTCGCATAAATCAAGTCCAACACATGAATACCAACAAATTTAAACACTTTAGCTATTTTTTTTTTTTTTCCAAAAATCAACATTTTGTTTTTTATTGTATCATACAATCAGCGTTCTTGTCAATGCAAGCATAAACCCTATCTTACTATCTACCCACCCCAAAAACTCACTTTAACACCAAAATATGAGATCGAAACAGTGGTATGATCACATTCACAGCCAAGCAAAATGATAAAAGAAAAGGGAACCAGTTAACCGGAAATGGACTAAGTGAACAAAAAGAACCTGCTTCATAATAGTGTAATCATCTCTGGTGACATTTACATTATTTTAAGAAATTCGGCAAAGCTTGGGTATTTTGGTTCCCAACCGATTTCAGCACGAGTTTTGGAGTTGTTCAATCTTTTACCAAGTGAATCATTTGCACCTGCGACAAGAAATTCCAGATACTAGTTAAACAAGGTTTTCCAGAGTGCATAATGCTAAGAGGCATTTGAAAGCTGCCACCTTAATCGATATGAGTAGTTAAGAACAAAAAGAAAAAGTCAAGTAACAACCAAATCCAATTTTCACAAATCTCAAGATGCAAAGAAGAAATAAGTTCTGAATACGAGATATGATACAATCTTATTAAATTGGTGAGACGAAGATATCTACATGTATAAACCTTAATTGGGGAAGTATGCTCTTTTTGCAATCTACTGTACTTCATTAGATTTAGACAACAAGCATTCAAACTTCTTGTCCTAAGTCCAATACCTGTAAAACCCTCAAACCTCCCACTGAATTTTCCACTCTGAATAACCAGGTCCATAATTTCTTGCCTGCACAGAATAGAAGGGTAAATTCACAAGATTAGGAAAAGTAACTAACTGAATTATTAATCAGTACAGCAGTATGCTAGGAGATCCAATATACGAAAAATACCTTGATAAAGGATGATTGTCACAACCTAGGAAGACCCTCGAACGTAAATTCTTTTTCAAGATTGCTATTGCTAGTGATGCAGCATCCTGACAGGAAATTACCACAAAAAAAGTGTGAAGTGCACAAGGAGTACCAATATGATCAACTGGATATATCACATGATATACTGAAGAAACAAGCTAAACATTCAAAACAAAATACAGCATAATGTTGCACTTGTACCTATAATTGTTTAAAATACATCTCATGCTGCATACAAAATATCAGAATGCCAAACAGCATGGACCTTCAATTGATAGCCAATGACCAATATAACTTAAACTAAGAATCCTATGAAATTCAAATTTAATGTAACCGTGCTCCAAAAAGGTAATCACTGAACTATGATGATAGCATGATAGGAAAAAGTAGTAGTTATCATGAGTTAAAGGTTTTACTTCATAGTGAATAAGGTTGACAAAGTGACCTGGGCGAAGATCACTCTTTCCTTGCTTCAACCAATAAGTGTGAGCACCTCTATCAGCTTTGTATTAAGAGTTGAGGTTATTAACAACTTAAATTTCTATTAAATACTTGGAATTAGAAATGCAAATCAGCAGATCTATAAAAGAAAATTGATAAAGGATATATAGAGTCCTGCCAGTCGAAGAACACAACCGCCATTATCTAGAACAACGTTCTCCGCTTTTAGAAGGACGTCTGTTCTAGGGCTCTTTCCCATTCGTACAGTAGGGGTTTCCTGTAAAACCATCAAGAAAAAGAGACTCTGTTAATGTCAGAAATATGCAAACCTGGTACTTAAATGCAAGAAATTTGAAATGTTCAAAAATCTGACAGCTTAATCAAAATCTGTTGACACATAAAAACTGCAAGAAGTGGACAAATATATTCCAGCCACTAAGGCTAGTTGAGGCCTGGACCAACAATCTCTTATGAATTGGGACTATATTAAATAATTTGAACAACTCTTGTTGCATTTTAGGCAATTAACACAAGTCTGCAGGGCTGTGTTCTTCCATCAATAATCCAAGATGAGGAATTTGCTTCATTCATGAAATATACTGCAATGATGTAAACGGGAAAAGAATAATCCACGGGGACATCTGGGAAAGCATTGCTGAAGAAAATATGATATGAAAAACATGGCTATCTTGATGTATATGAATTTATGAATACATAGTTCTGGATCAATATGCAAATGGTATATAGAGGTATCTTCCTTCAATAAAAGAGATCAGATAAAAAGTCATATATGTAAGCAACAAATGTTGACATAGAAAAATATAAGCCCATATGATGATAATAACAATGTAGTACAAGAGATATAACACCTCATCACAATTTCCATTGTCAGTACAGTCAACTAGTCCAGAGCTTGAAGTGAAAACAAATGATCCTTTACCATTCCAGCTTGATGCTGCTTCCCTGCTTGCAATGCCATGGAAATAATTGGCACGACAATCAAATAAGGTTCAGGTAGTTATAAAATTCATTTACTTCAGCAAATCAACAAGTATATATAAACAAAGAAAGTATTGTCAAGTTGGCCCATGATTACATGAACATAAAATTTGCTAATCAAAACACAGTAACATTAATGCTTAGATCCTACTCATCCTAGGGGATCATTTAAAGAGAGCACATTGAGTCAAATGATTACCTGTGCAGAGTGTGGGTCAAGACTCAAGATGTTCAATACATCAACATACACAAGCTGGAAACTTAATAGGAATGATTTTATTCGGTTAGGTCTGGATTGAAGGTAAAAATGTTCAATACATGTTCAATAGTGACATATGGGACCTGATTATTCACAGGCATTCACTTGATGAGTTGATGCAACTGATTGTGCATCTATTATGTGTGTGCTGGAAGTCCGGCATGACAAATATTTGATTTTAGGATGGTTGTGTTTTACTGCTGCAAGGCCGTAGTAGACAAGTAAATTATGTTAAATATTCGTAACATATGATCTTAAATAATTAGATTTGTCCAATTCTATCTCACCTCAAGTAGATTAAGCTTAGCATTAAAGCCAGATCCAAAAGCTTGAGCTATTGAAAATTTCGGTCGGTTTATCTTCGTTCTTTCTAGTCTTTGCCATTAATATCCTTTGCTGAATGTCCTTGAATTTAGGTTTGATGTAGATTTCATAATAAAATGATCACTTCATCATAGAATAGGATGTGACATTCAAGGCGTATTCACTCACCTAACATCGCCTGCATAATCTGGACTCTTTGATGGAGGAGCACAAAAAATAACATATGGAAACTGACAAGGTAGCATAGCTTCCTTCACTGAAGGAGTTATTCCAATATTTATCAATTCATCATGATTATCTGTGGTCGCAGTCTTCCCATAGATTTGACATCCTGGAAAATTCTAGACAGCAAAAAGACGTATCAGAATTTTCTTCTTCAACAATAGGATATCGAAACAAAAAATACTCTGTTACATAAAAAGCACACTAACTTTGGAGTTTGGATTGTCATTCACCATTCCTATGAACAATTATCTTAAAACAATATCTTGCCAAATTCAAAAACCAAACAATTAACTTCAGTACCAAAAAAGAAGAGTCAAACTCTCACAAGCACATGCAAGGATTTGACATAAAGTAACCAAAATATTGTTATTTAAGGGAAATTAACCTGGACTACCAAAGTTTACCCTCTTAAACAACAATAAGTCTAAGTTTGCAATTTAATGCCAATAATCCAAAGTCTGAAACTAGTGTACAAGAATACACCAATCCATTTACTATTTCTCTAATGTGGGCAAGTATCTCACTCCTCTCCTTTCTCATCTCTTTCTCCTTTCACTGCATTCTAGAAAACCATATCACATGCTACAATTCTGCTAAAATCTCCTGCAGTGGCTATCTGTGATAAGCCTCAGAAATATTAAATCTACTCTTCTCAAAGCAGTAGCTTTTTTCTTGATCTTGAAAAAACCTAGGGTAGCTTAATCTCCATAGCTACCTAACTTTACTATGCCTCAATTTTATCAGGTCCTTTATTTTTGTCTTCGATTGGTATACAATTGTGATTTGTTTTTGTAACAGAAGCAATAGCTTCTCTGGTTTTGGTAGCAGGTTACAGAAATTGGTTACGGGAATGGATTTAAGTGTATTTGACATGATAATTAACATCCTAATATCCATGGAAATGCAGTACCATCCCCAAACTTGTGTTTTCGTACATAAACGCCCAAAACTACCCAATATCACCCCAAACGGTAATGGAAATATGTGGAGACAATTTGAGGCGAAAATTCGTTACCATGGGAATCATTACCAACGTTTACTACCACTTACCAAACGGGCGTTAAGGGTTATGGCCATAAATTCTCAGTAACTATTGTACCTTTACAATTTACAATCCAGCAAGATCAACATCTATTATCCAGGAACCATATGTGATTAAATAAACATAGTTACTAAAACTGTCATCAAATATGCCAGTACTCAGTAGCCCACTACAAGTTTGGGTACGGTACACAATTTGGTACCAAAGTATTGCTAATCAAGCCAAAATGTACCAAATTCACATACAAAGTATTAATTTTTCTTTATCAGTTCTCGAGGAATTAAACTGTTTTACAAACGAAAGAAATAGAGGTAGAAATGCAATAGAAATAGCGATTATACCTGACTCCATTGTTGAGCTACCAAGCGACCAAGAACACCAGGTCCAACAATTAGCAAATCACTCTCACCAACTACCACAGACGATGATGATGTTCCTGATTAACATTAAAGTGTCAATTGATTGAAACTTCTTAAGTGTATAATTGTCGAAATCGGAACAATAATTGAAAGGGGAGAGAAAGTAGCTAACCAACAGAGGCGGAGGAAGAGGTTGCTCGAACAGTGGAAGCCATTGATGACGACGACAATGACAATGACAATTGTAGAAAATTGGAATTAGGGTTTGAATTAGGAAATTGGGGATGAGAATAGTACGAGGTCCAAAAATTTGAAGAAAGAGGAAATTTGGGGGAGTTAGAGTTTGAGTGTCTAAATGTTTTGAGAGATGGAATGCCGCTGATAGCGTGGGTGCTTGCCATTATCATTGGAGAGGATTTGAGTTTTAGTTGAGCTCTTTTGAGTGAGTAAAGGGAAGAGGGATGTGACAGGGGTTGTTTGACAGTTGGTGCGTAGGAATAGAGTTGTCAAAATCTGATCAGACAAAATTCAACTGGTGTGAATATTTCATGTTGCATAAATACTCCGTAGAGAATGAGGGATATTTCAAGTGGTTAAAACTTTCCTTTCGATTTCACCAATGTCACATGTCATCTCATTTAACCTTTCTTTTTTTAATCCCCTCATATTAAAAAAAGAAAAAAAAAAAGGAAAAAAAAAAGACTCACTAGCTTTAATTAAATACATGTATGAATGTTGTTTGGTTCACTTTCCTCCAACTTAATATCTTCTACAATGACATTTAATTTTCACCCCTTCTTCTCCTTTATAAACTACTAGATGAATCCCGTGCGATACACGATTTATTTGTATTTTTTAAAACAAATATATTTTGTATTTATGTGATAAAATTTGTTATTTTATTCGATGTACATGGTATAATATTTAACATTTTTATTTTAAAATATTTTGTGAATTTTCTCTCGTTCGCTATATAATTAGATCAAATTCCTTATCTCAAAAGATAATATTTTATATATAATTAATTTAAGCTTTAAAATTTCATTCGCCAATTTTACTTATATGGCATATAAATAATCCATCATTATTAATTTCGCCAATTTGTATAATTTAAGTTCAATAAATATAATTGTAAACAGATATCTATGTTATTATTAATTTGAAATTATATTTGTTGAACTTAAATTATTTTCACTTAACTGAAAGTATTTTCACCAAACTAATATTTTTATTAAAACTTATTTTTATTGTTTCTCTAATATTTTCTTAAATAAGTTAAATAACAACGCATTTTGTATGCGGCTAGCCACACCATCTGGTCGGACAAAGTAATACCTAGTTTGAAAATTGCCCGAGTAGCCCTTGTAATCGTAACCTCGAACATTAACTAAGTAACCCCTATCTATAGCATTGATTGAGTAACCACTATAACACTAACCAAGTAACCTTTATAGAACTAACGAATTAACTTTTGTAATAGTTGGTGACACAGTTTGGCCAGCTACGTATGAAAGTTTGTGATTAAATATAATATAAATGGATCTTATTTTAAAGAACTTTTTAAAACGAATTTGATGATGGAAATAGAACAGAGTTATAGGATGTTTATTAAAAGTTATGATTAATTTTGTACATATGAAATATTAGAATTCTATCGATAATAAAACTCTATACAACAATTTTATCTTAAAAATCTATCCAAAAATTGCTAACTTAGTGATATGATGTGTCACAATAATACTTTTTTTTTTGCCTACGTGGCACAACACTTGGCGAAAAACTGGAATGCCAAGTGTCGTTGTCTCGTGACCTGGCTGCGAGACCAGCTTTATATATTAGTGATATGATATGATATTAATTTATTTTTCAATAAAAATATATTATAAAATAAAAATTTATATTGTATACCTATAATTGCATGGGCTAGGCTAGTTATGCATTAAAAATACAAGCAGTTTTTAAAAAATATTGAGTGGAAAAAACTTGCATGGATGGTCCACAATAATATTTGTGAACGTGAGATTTATACGCATATAACTAATGTAATTATATAGTTAATTAATTGAATTTTAGGAAGATAATTAATTGAATAGAGTAAAATTTTAGGATGGTAATTAATTGCATAGAGTAAAATTTTGCTAGTCTTTAAGCCCGTTCGATCCACGGGTTATTACTTAGGTTATTTTATAAAACCTCCATTTCATATTATTTGCAACTTTAGAATATTTTATATCTTACAAATAATACCTCAAAGTTGCAAATAATATGAAACAAAGGTGGTATATAGGTATATTTTTCAATAGTTGAAAGTTTTGATATAAAATATGAAGTAATTGTTTCATGACCATTAAGGTGAAACTTAAAAGGAGAAAAAGAGTGAGGGTGGAATTGTGGAAAAAGATGAAGGAATTTAGTTAGGTATATATACATAAATATTGTAGGATATGAAATGACATATTAGTTTAAGTTATTTCAACAAAAAAAAAAAAAAAAAAGAGATGAAAAGACAATTTTTTTTTTTATTTTTTTTTATTTTATATTATACTTCATATGTTTATGTAATGTTAACTATCAACTTTATTTTATTATGGTGGAAATGAAACACTTCATTTTCTTACTTAAATTAAAAAGGGGATACAATATATATATAAAGACTTTAACATTATATAATATATTAATTTTTTTTTATATTAAAAAGAGAAAATATTAAAAAGAAAAAAAATAAAGGAAAGATCAAGGGAGGTGACATGTGGCATATGAGTGATTTGTTATGACATGTGGCATAAGAATGATTTATGGTTTGTGTTTTTAAATACTCCGTATTAGATTTTAGGATGGTAATTAATTGAATAGAGTAAATTTTGTTTTAGGTAGAGTTTATTTGGAGATTAAATTTTTTAGATTGAAGACAATAGGGTAATGGCTAGTCAAAAAAATTAATAATAACAATAATACTAATACTAATAATAATAATAATAATTAAAAAAAATTGAAGGAGACGGAACCATATGAGGATATTGATATAATACAAAAAAGCTAGATGCCGATCGAAAAAAAAAAAAAAAGTAAGTGACACATTTTTAATAAAAACGGCCACTTAGAAGTGACGCACTTAAAAAATGGAGGGAGTGTATATAGAATTTTCACTACAAGAATTAGGTCGATTTTTTACGGACTGGTTCTGACAATTTTGTCGGAAAATATGTATTTTCTGACGGATTTTTCCGTCGGAAAGTACCTTTTCCGATGGATTTTTATTCCGTCGGAAATTACCATTTCCAACGCATTTTTATTCAGTTGGAGAATTTCCGTCGGAATATAATAATAAAAAAAATTAGAAACCCTAAATCCCTTTCTCCTTCTCTCTGATTTTACGCTCTGTCCTTCTCCTTCTCTCTCCTCTTCTTCTTCTCTTTCTCACTTCTTCTTCTTCTTCTTCTTCTTCTTCTTCTTCTTCTTCTTCTTCTTCTTCTTCTTCTTCTTCTCTTTCTCACTTCTCTTTCTCGTCTTTTTCTCCTCTCCTCTTCCTTCTCTCCTCTTCTTTCCGTTCTTTCCTCTTCTCTTTATTCTCTTCTCTTTCTCGGCGGTTTGTGGGGTGGTGTTGATGCGAAATAGTCGCCGGAAATTTTGGTTGGTGGTTGGTTTGGCTTTAAGGATGGTGTTTCGGGGGTTTTTATGTGTCCTGCGGGAGAGTTACGTCACTAAGTCCGGATCCTTGTCGCCTATACATGCACACAAACGGAAGCTCCAGATGCTCGGAGTTTCGCCTCCAACGATCAAGTTAGAACGTGTCGAAGTAAGGTAAAATGCGAAAAGTAAAAGAATCTTCTCGGATCCCGAGATCAGGTGTTCTCTGATTTAAGAGAATAATTAATGCTGTAATAATTGTACATGTCCCCTAAAATGGGGTAAATGTCCTTATATATAGGACATAGGGGAGTGTGCCCTTGCATAGGTCAATCTGACCAACCCAATTTGGGCTGTGCCGTTTTGCGGCGCCTAGGGAAATGAGCCTGACAAGGCTGCTGATACCCATTTCTCTGCCTGCCATGTGTCATGTCCTGGTTGGTCCTTTGTGGACAATTTCTAGGGTGACACGTGTGACATTCTTACTAGTCCACGCGGCTGGGGTAAAAATACCCAAATCTTTTGCCCCTCACAAGGGTGACGTGGCGTGCCACATGGCGCCTATGACAAGTGTCACACATGCAATGGTGTACAGTACTTTTACTGTTCACCTTTTGGAGTAAATCTCGGAATTGCCCCTGGGATTTTATCCCTCTATAAATAGTTTTTTTTACCCCCCCTCATTTTCACACGTTTACAAAAAATCTTTGAGAGAGACTTTGACATCTGAGAGAAAAACTTCTGCCACCTGTTCTTTGTCCGCCTGCATTGCAGCCGTCTCAAGCTCCGAACAGATCAACAGTACCTTCATTTCAAAGGCACCACCTGTTTTTCTTTCTCTTTTCTCTTTATTTACCGCCTGTGCTTGTTTTTTTCTTCGCTTTTGAAAATGGTTTCACAAACACACACGACACGGCTTAGGATAACGATCAGCCAGTCACCTATGACGGTTGAATCTAGAACTAGGAGTGCTGGTTGCCCCTTCTTGTACTCCCCCTTGCGAACATCCCCGAATGCGACCGTCTCTATGTATGTATAGGACACTATGGCCAGAACGAAGAGAACGGCCAGAGAGAAAAATGAGGGCGGCTCTTTTAGGGCGCCGGTTAGTGAGGTCTTTGACCATCCGCCCAGCTCTTCAAGTACACCAGGGACTCAATTCTGAGGGAGTCTGGAGATGAGGGTACACCTGGTGACTCTATTTTGCGAGAGTTAGGGGATGAGCTAAAGAGTGATAGATGCTTTTGGCTCGGTTCACCGGTCGTCCCATTCGGACGCTAGACCAGGCGACTTTGAGGCTGGATCAGGGTCGTCTTCTTCAGATAAGGAGTTTGAGAGCTCCGAAGCGGAATCTTTGCTGCTTGCTTAGGCGAGAGCGGCTCCCTCCATGGAGAGGGGTGAGGGAGAGGCCACCACCTCTCACCGGGAGGAATTTGCCGCCTATTATCATCATATTACGGCCAGCAGATGGAAGTCCATGCTTAAGAAGCTGGCGAATTTCAAGCTACCCATGTCATGGAGTATGGATATGAAGTCCATATTCTTGATTTTGAAGACACATTCATATGGCCGGCTAGGTCAAGCTACGAGGACCAGTGTTTTGGCTGCTATGAGGCGGCCATTCAAGCTGGCTGAAGATTGTGCGTTGGAGATACTAAAGATGGATGTGGAGTTGCTTTGCAATATCAATTCTTATCGTGACTCCTCTTTAGTTTATGAAGCAGTTCATCAAAAGTTAAGCAAATTGTCTTTGGAAATCGTAAGGTCTCCCTATTCTATTAGTTGTATTGGATTTAATGGCAACACTCCGTTACATTGAATGAATCATCTAAATTGCTCAGGTACTCTGTCCTCCATTTTCTTTTATTCTATATCTAATTTATTGCTTATCTGAATATTTTTACTCTTTGCTAAGACCGTGATCAAACTTCCATTTGAGTGAAAGTGTTGTCCCATATTAATAGTGTAAAAGTAAGAGGGACTATTGTGATGTTTAACCCACATTGAAAAAAGAGAAAATTACCCCTTCATAAGGCTAAAGGCTACTCCGCAATTGTCACATGGTTTTTAGGTGAAACCTTCTTGAACTTATATAGACATCCAGGCCAAGACCCCTTTATCATACATAGTATATATTTCCTCCGTTTTTTATTAAATGCATTACTTCTCAACTTTCGGACTTCTGAGCAATTTTTATAGTAAAGAGAAAGAGGAGTCATGTGATATGAAAGAGAGAGATATAATTTGTTGACAATAAAAGAGAGTGATGCACTAAATTAAAACTTCTATATATAGAAAGTGATGCGTCTATAAAAACGGAGTAAGTATATTAAAATGATGAAGTAGTTGAATGCATAACAAAGTACATAACAACACATCATGGTGAGGGAGGGGTGGTTGGGGGTTTTCAGGGGTAGGGGAAGGGTTTTCATGGAGGTTGCAGTGGTGATTAGGAAGGGGTTTTAGGGAAGAGGGGGTGGTGATTTAAAGAGAAGGGGAAGGAGCTACAGCTAGAGTGAGGAGGGGCAGCGGATCGGCGAGACTGGCTGGGTCATGGTGGAGGTTCCTCGGGGGAGGGGGAAGGGCTAGGGGTTTCGGATTTTCTTTTTTTAAAAATTAATTTTTTAAAATTCTCTTTTTACTTTTTTTATATTTTTTAATTTTTGGACCAATCACAATTTGATATGGGTTAAGTAATTTGTTATGACAAGTCATTGACTATTTTTTTACTTGTTTAGGATTGAAGAAAGTAAACAACTACCAAAATTAATAATCCAGAGATTATTATAAAACAATCCAAAAAAATTTGAAAATCCAATGGATGAACTTTGACATCGATAGTAACTTGTACAATCAGAACACTCTCAATCATCAAACTATTCGTTCACCTCTATAATCAAATAACATCAATCAACAAAACTTGCGTTCATATTTCTTCTCAAATTCACCAAAAAGATGCCTTGTAACAAATGTAGTCTTTCCTAGCATATCCAATTATATATATATATATATAATCAACCCTTCCTCCAACTTTTATTTTTATAATCACAAACAATTAAAACAATAATCAACCCAATATCAATTACAATTACAAAAAACTTAGATAACATACCCACATAGATCAAAACCCTAATCACATCCAAAAAATTCGAAAACAAATTTACCAAATCATGTGTTTTTGTATAAAAAAATTATAATTTCCCCAGAAATTTAGATACGAAATACTTCGTATGTTATTGATTTAAATAAATTATAAACCAAAACGAAATAGGAAAATTACCTAAGCCACCATCACCAATATGAACAAGCTTGAATCTTTGGTAATCAACAACAAGAATACAAATCGACTTTAATCTTGATTTACACAATCTGTACCTAACGATCAGCTACTAAAACAGAGAGAAGGAGACCGAAGAGAAGGTGAAGATGATGAAAAATGAGATGATGTTCCATGGAGAAGTTGGATATTAAAGAATATAGAGAAGAAATGGAACAAAGAAATATTATTGAGGCTTGAATGAGAAGAAGAATCAGTCGGATACTTACAGGAGAACAGTGGCGGAGCCAAAAATTTTAAAAGGGACAAATAAATATCGCTTAGTTTGACAAACATGTCGGAACACACTTATACTTAAATAGTTCAAGTATTACAACTCAAAATTTCTTAAATATAGAGTACTTAGTAAAAAAAAAAAAGCCAACATCATGTACCAATTCTTCCTCTAGATATATACTTATGGGATTAGAATTTTTGAACAATTTAAACATTAATAATGTAGCTAATTAGATGCACGGTTTATAATTCCCTATTGTACTACAATTAGCACTGTCAAAAACCGAACCGAACCGGTGAAACCGAACCATTTCAACCGATCCGAATGAGAATCGAACCGATTAAAAACCGAAAACCGACCCGAACCGCATGTTAGTAAAACCGAAACCGAACCGATCCGAGTAAACGTTAAACTGTTTAAGAACCGAACCAAATCTAAACCGAACTGAAAGGAAACCGAACCGAAAATGAACTGAACCGTTTCTAACCCGAAACCGTTTGAACTGGCATAAAAACCGTTTACACCGAACCGTTAACAAACTACAACCCGTTTGCACCGAACCGTTTATAAACCGGACTTATTATAAACCGAACCGCTTATAAACCGAACCGTTTATAACCTGAATCGCTTATAATTCGAACCGTTTACAAACCACTTTCTACTAGGGGTGGTTATTGGGCGGGTCAGTGTAGGTCAATAACGTTATTAAAGAATAAATGTCCAAGATTCTTAAAAAAAAAAATCAAAAAATTATACAATAGATGTCAATATTTGGGATTAGAGCTACTGAAGTACAAAAATTTTGTAATTTTGATTTTATACTCAAGTTTGTTTATCATTCTCATTTTATAGCTTATGGAAAGATTAGTCTCCTTAACTAGAATAATTGATGAGTTGATGTTCGATTAACTATTCTTATATTTTTAATCAATTATTAGGTACGTAGCTCATATATTTTATTCACTTATTAGGTATGTAGCTCCGCTTCACAGAATTCTCATATAGTCATATGGTAATTAATTATAGGAGATTGAAATTTGCAAGAAGGCTTGTATCAGGGACAATATCACAATAGTATATTTTACACATTAATCCATAGGTGCAGAAGTCAAGTTTTTGTTCAAGGACAATTTTACTACAGACCACGGTAGGGGAAAGCAAAATGATGGTCTTATATAGACTTTCGTTTCTTGATCTTGCATCCTTGTCTAAGGTATCACCAGCTCAATTTCTAGATCTCCAAGTCCCTGCAATTTATTTAGTAAGGAGGTTAGTCTGTTGTTTGCACCGCAATCTGAATTTTGTAAGAGTTGATGAATGCAGCAGACCACATGCATTTTAAACCTCTGAGAGCATAAATAAATACATGCATTTTTAAAAAACAATTCACAAAACACACACTTTTCTCAAAAAAAAATAAAATGAAGTAACACAATATAATTTAAACATCACTACAATACAACATCCATACCTTCTTAATTAGATGCAAAACTTTCATCTATCACTTCTTTACCAATTTCAAGGACGTCTTCCTCAATATCACAATCATAACCACGTAACCAATTTTGTGTGGTCACCAACGCCTCAACATTCTTAGGCAAAAGCGCACTCCTATACTTGTTTAAAATACAACCACCCATGCTAAAAGAAGACTCAGAGGCTACCGATGTAATAGGAATGGCCAAAACATCCCTAGCCATAACAGCTAATATGGGGTACACACTAATCTGAGATTCCCAATACTTGAGAACATCATAATTCTGCCCTTCATAAATTGGTTGCCGAGGAGTATTCAAATAAGAATCAATCTCCATCGATGGCCGATTTGATGGGCCATCCTCGTCATCATCATCATCAACATACTAGAAAATTTCAAAAAAAATGCTTTTATTAAATAATAAAAATTAAAACATACAATTATTAATTTTGTAAGCCACAATAAATAGAAATTGATTACCTTGAATATATATCATCATCGAAGTGACTATTTGAAGTATCGATAACACTTGGGTTGGAAGGTGGAACAATTGTACTTGATTTAAAACCGGAAACCATAGAAGAATAAAAGTTATACAACTCCAAAAGAGTATCTTTAATCACCTTCGCCTTTTCAACACATGCCTCATCAACATAAAGCGCTTTTAACATCTTCGTCAATCGAACAAGCTTATAGCGAGGATCAAGTACAATAGCAATTGAAAGGATCAAACTATATTCATCCCAATAGCCCTCAAACTTTTCAAGCATAACTTTGTCCATGGGTGCAAGTTTAGGGTCTATATGGGCTCTACTTATTGTGTGCTCAATTTTCAAAACACTAGCAAAATACAAATTTGCAGTAGGATATTCTGAACCAGAAAATAACACGGTGATTTCATGAAATGGCTTTAGGAAATGTCATATTTTAGCAAGGGTATCCCATTAGTCATCTGAAAGTTTGAATTCATAAATCATAAACCTATCAATAACCAATTTCAAGGCTTACTTTGCTTCTAAAGCTTTTCGGAGCATCGTATAGGTGGCATTCCAACGAGTCACAACATCAAGACGTAACTTTCCATTAAACACACAGTTAACCTCATGAAGAGCATGCTCAAATTGAGTGAGTCTAGAGTCTGAAGAATCAATATATTTACAAACCTCACGCAATTTTTGAACACTACTATCAACTTCTTTTAAACCTCTTTGAACAATAATGTTCAAGACATGAGCAGAACATCGAATATGAAAAAATTTGCCATTACAAGGAAGAGGAGAAGTCAACATTAAATCTTTCTTCAAAAGGTTAACCATAACATCCATGGATCGAGCATTATCAACACTCATTGCAAAAGCTTTACCCTGAAGGTTCCACTCCCCAATAAGTTTTAACAAAAAAATTTCTACCTCAACACCAGTATGAGGAGGACCACAATATCTAACATTCAGTATTTTAGATCTAAGACACCAATTTTTATCAACATAATGTGCAGTTAAGGTGAAATAACCTTGATTAGTGCATGTTGTCCACAAGTCACAAGTGAAGCTAACTCTACCTTCAATTCCAGAAAAAGATTGCAACAATAAAGACTTAAACTTATCATGCTCAGCAATGCAATATTTCAAAATAGTGTTTCTACACACATGCTGCACGTTGGGATTCAGGTTCGTAAAAACTTCCCTAAGGCCATGATGCTCTACAATACTTAAAAGATAGGAATGCAAAATTATAGCTCTAGCAAGCAATTGTAAATGACGAGTCTGATTAAACAGGGACTAAAGACCACTTTCATGATTTCCAGGATGGTGTGGATTTTTACTCATGCATGTCTTAGTATGAGCTTTACAAGTTGAAGTACCTGCCTTGCCTGGTGTTTTATATTCATTACCACAAACATTGCATCGAGCATATTTTACCGGAGCAAGACCAACCATCTTATCAAAAAAGGTGTAATGCCTCCAAACATCTGATGTTCGTCCACGCTTACTACCACTAGTGGTATGTTCAGTAGAATCTTGATTCTGAACAGTAGAATCCTCATCAAAACCACTAAACTCTTGCTCCATTGCTGAAAAAAACAGAAACATAACAGTATAAATCAAGTCACAATATGATACTATATGATAAGGTAGAGCTAACCCTAAATACATCCAATCGAACTTACTTAGTTTGCACCCTAAATACAAATATCCTTTACCAATTAGGCAATTAAGTAGTTTATTATCTTCTTAAATGTTCAAACTATCCTTTACCAATGTGTACAAGCTAAAAAATTATTAAAAAATACTTAGTAACGCATAATCGACAAGAATTACCATAATAGCATAAAGAGCCACAAAAGAATACTTCCTTTGAGCTGCGACAACAATGAAGTTCTAAGTAACTACAGTACAAATACAAATACAACAGCTTGGACACCACCAAAAAGTAGCACTTCCAATAAAAAGTTCATATAGAAAATTTCCCTTGGATCATAAACAAGTGCAGCTCAAGGACTATGAAGCTGGTTTCCCCTCATGGAAAGGTTGAGTACGCCAAAAAAAAAGAAGCAACACAGAATGCTGTGTGCAGAACTGAACCCAAAATATCTCAGTTGTCACCATGACATACACAAATACACTCAAACCTTAACCACCATCACCATTCCTACAGATTTCTAGTATTCATTCTTTATTTCCTTTGATTATCACCCCCCCCCAAAACAGAATTTACTAAAAACCAGAACTACTTAACCAAAACAGAAACTATAAATCAGAACATAAAATCAAAAAATTGACAGAAATTATATAGACCCTAAATACAAATCACAACATAAAATCAAAAAATTAACACAAATTATATGAACAACAATAAGAATCAGAACTAAAAATCAAAAAATTAAGACATGCAAATCCCGTCAAACAACAAAAAACCGAAATGAAAACAAAAAAAAAAAAACAGAAAATTACCTTTAAGCTGTGACAGCTTGAAGGAGAGGAAGATTTGAAGATGGAGAACTGGAGATCGAAAAAAAAAACGAGAATGGAGAACTTGAAATCGAAAAAAAAAAACGAAACAAAAACAAAAATAATTAACTAAAATTTACCTCAAATTGAGCTTGAAGAGTTGAGAACTAAAGAGTGAGTGAGGATTCGGCGCTTGATTTGAGGATGATGAAGAAGAACCGATTTGAGGATGATGAAGAAGAACCGATTTGAGGATGATGAAGAAGAACAGAAGAATGAAGAAGAAGAAGAACCAAAAACGGCTGAAAGGGTGAATGAAGAGGAGATGACCTAATTAGCTAAAACTCACGTTTCACCTTTTTTCTGTTTTTTTTTTTCCATAATATATGAACCATGTTATTTTTCTTAATTATTTACCAATTAAAATATCTAAATTTAAAATTTGTTTTTCCTTTTGGTTTTTGGAGGGAAATTTCCCACCATTTATATTTTGAAGAAATTGTCAACCAAAAGAAATGAAATCAATTTTCCACTTTATAAAAATAAAAAAAATTTATTTTATTTTAATAACATTAAACAAATTTTTATACAATTAATTAATTACATGGCTTAAAAAAAAAACTAATTTCATTTCTCGCCCATAAAACGTTATATACCTTCATAATATCAGCTTTTATATTTTTATTAACACACACATTAAAATATTAAGTTTCTCAAATTATAAAATGTGAATCGGTTAGCGTGTAAATGTCTAGCGTTGCGATTAATAAAAAATCAAAGACCGTTTAATAATATAATGACGTCATATCTTAGATAGTTAGAAGTACTACAAATTTGTTATATGGTTATAATTATATCAGTTTAGCTGTACTTATAAGCAATACACTTGTAATCGTGTAAACTTATAACTGATAGAATTCACTAGTAGATTAGTACATAAATACAAATGACTTAATTAGATATGAGTTATGACTACATGAGTAATTGACTAATATGACTATATCAGCAACTGTCAATTTAGCATAGCTGCATAACAGATTAGCAATGTACTAGACTATCAAACTCGGTAATATACTAATGGCATTTCAGTATTTGATCTATTAGACTCAAGTTTAAAGTTATTCTTTCTTATTAACTTGTTAGTCTAATTAAGTAATTAGTAATTACTAATCTGTGACTTAAGCCTTAGGGGTAAACCAGTAAAGGATATACAAATCTAATAATCTTATGATTTTCATCCCTTTATACTAATAATATTTAACTATGAGAATATGATATGGTTAAATGTTATGTATATGTATAATCGATTGAAAGAATCAATATTAACTTCTTATTCATTAATGTTTTATTTCATTATACAAATCAAACTACTTTGTAATTAATATGTTCATATATAACTTTATGCAAATATATGATGATAAACGAGTCTTAATTATCAGTTTTGTTGACTAATTAAGTATCGAATACCAAATTGCAATTTTCGATGTCACAACAACTCATCAAATCATGATTATAACACCATTAATTAAATGATCAAATAAGAAGCAGATTATAATCTGATAGTAAAACAATATTACATTAATGCAATAAACTTTTATATTCTAATTCGTAATAAACTAGTAAGATCAGTATGGCTAAACTGGAAAACATAACATGATATGTATTTATAAAATTAATGAGAATTTGCATATAATATGATGCCTCAATATGAAGTGATGAAGTCTCGGCTTGATATAAAACTTGTTAACCAGCAAAAAGTTAGAAAGTAGTATAAAATTTCAAACCAAAATTCGTTTAATTGCCCGAATCCAAACGACTCGATAAAAAACCGATTTTTTAAAATAAGAAACAGACCCGAACCGTAATTTAGTAAACCTGAAATAAAATCGATCCAAATAATGTTAAATCATAGAAGAACCAAACCCGTTAACGAACCGAACAATTTATAAACCTGAACCAAAAAAGAACCGAACCGTTTCTAACCCGAAACTGTTTGAACCGGGATAAAAACCGTTTACACCGAACCGTTAACAAACCACAACCCGTCTGCACCGAACCGTTTACAAACCGAACCGAATTTAAACCGGGATAAAAACTGTTTACACCGAACCGTTAACAAACCGCAACCCGTCTGCACCGAACCGTTTACAACCCGAACCGAATTCAAACCGTTCAAGAATAAACCGAAACCGAATCGAACCGATAATTATTTAAACCGAACTGAAACCGACCCGTAAGACATTTGACCCGATTTCAAACCGAACCGAAACCGAACTGTCAAACCGTTTTGACAGTGCTAACAACATACCAACAAGCCATTTTGTATTTTGTTGTTAATGATGGGTAGGTAATATATCTATCAACTACTAATTGTTAATTAAGTTAGGTATAGTATTGTATAATGTACATTTAGTTTGTAGCTAGTAATGTAGGATGATGATAAGTAATATTAAGAATATGATCAATTATATTAGGAAATAGTTGAATTTACCTTTATAAGGGATATTGGTAAATTTCCAATTTCTCTTTTAGAGGCGTTTTTTTGGCATTTTAGGACTTTTTTTTAGCCACGACCTAGATCTCCAAAAAACAAACCGTTTTAAAAAAAAATTGCCCCAATCAGACGCTCAGAACCCGAGTTATGGGCCCCCGAAGTTCGGACGCAATATCTCTCTATCCGGGAATTAGGCGGCCGATCCGATTGGATTTCTGATTTGTGCCCTTCAATATAAGGTGTTTAAAAAAAAAAATCGCCCCGATCGGACCCCCGAGGCCGTACTTATGACCTCTCGAGTTTCCCGTACCCTCGAAATTCGCCTAAATCATCTCAAACCCGACGGAATTGGACGACGTGGACCGCGTATTCTCGTAGATCTTGATTTTCCGTGTGAAAACGAGTACTCACACTAATTGAGGGCATTCGTATTTTTTATTCTATGATCATTTACAACTTTTGTTTTCCTATAAAGTTGCATACCGCACGCCTGTGGGTCAGCGTTTTACATACTTACAATTTTTTTTTTCCAAATTTTATTTAGTACATTTTTTTTTTTTGGAAATTTTAATTTCAGAGTTTATGTTTTTTTAAAAAAATAAATTAAGGGGATAAAATGCTGTCCGAGACAACGTTTTATCCAGAAGCTTAGTTTGGTAAATAGTTTTGCCACATATCTACTTTTGTAATTAAGCTTAGTTTGGAATCATCCTAAATTGTCAATGGAGTAGAAATCTGCATAAATAACCGTAAATTAATTTAAAGATTAAAACTAATTTTTAGAGATAAAATTGATTTTGACTAAAATAGGCTAACCAAATTTGAAAAATAAAACAAGGGCTTAAACATAAAATTGTCTGTACATGCAATTAAATCTAATAAACCAATCATTAAAAAGTTTGGCATTATATACGGCAGGCTTTATCAAGTATCTGCTCATGCAATAAAGGCCTTTTGTGCAGCAGAAGCCTCCACGATGATCCATGGTCCCCTACTATCTTGGAGCACCTAGTCCTTTTTAATCTTCGCCAAGAGGGCTTACACTAAGGGTATTTTACACATGCAATACTAGTCTCTCTTTTCAACTTGTCACATGTTGTATGTTTGATGAACAATTCTAAAGCATAATCTTAGTTATTCTACAAAACCTTCAAACAGAACATATGAAGTATCCGACATCATGGCACGTACATGACACATGCGCATCGAGTCATTGCGTGTCATACCAAGTCATACTTGCATTGGGCACAATTTATCGGGTGTACAATAGATGCTTTGGGCGTAGACTTGAGCTTAACGTGAAATAAAATTGAAATAATTGACAGCAAGATAGGAGCAAGTACTCATCAACAACAGAACATTCGTGTGATATGTCTTGTTTGACTTAAAACACTCTGTAGCAAGAGAATATATGTTAGTTTCATCACTTATGAGAGTTATGACATGATAGAGATTAGAAGAAAAAGCATACTTCTAAATTTTCCCTTTTTGTTTTTGAAATGGATCTATTTTTTCCTTAAGCATCTAATCTTCCTAAATTACAAGAAATAATTCAATAACATAACTATCATTAGTGACTCGAGTAGTAAAACCCACCATAACCCTTCAATTCTACAGCTTAACAGGCCCAAAGAGGATATATAATCCGCATTTAGGATGTTAGATGCAGTTGTTGAAGGGATCCAAGCTGCATGTTGTCGTAGAACGTTACCATTATCACCACTCAACTCGTATTTCATATTAGTGTTTACCAAGATGTCCTCTGACTTGCAAGGTTTCACACCAATCGGACTATGCCTGGTTGACATTAGCCCACTCGCGTAACAAAGATTTGGGTTATTCCAAGCCCCAAACCTCCTCCCTAGTCTTTGATAAAAGACCTCAGAAAATTTCAGCTCCCCTGTCAGATTATTCCCATTAACATAAACTGCACTTACACCAGACATTTTTGCAATTTCTGATGGTAGAAAACCTGTAAGATGGTTGTTACCAAGGCCCACATATCTAAGCTTCTTCAACTTTATCATAGACTTTGGAAACTCACCTGACAAACCCAGATTTGAAAGGTCCAAAATCATTAAATTTTGCAACTTTTGCCAATCAATCTTACTAATTTCACCTCCTATTTGATTATCAGATAACACCAATTCTTGTAATGACTCCAATTCTTCAATTGATTTTGTCAATCCACCAGTAATATTGTTGCCTCTAAGATCCAACAGAGTCAAATTCTTCATATTGCCAACATTACTAGGAATATTACCCATGAACATATTGTTGCTTAAATCGAGCTTTAAGAGTGAATTGAGGTACCCAATTGAGGTAGGAAGGTACCCAGATAATGAATTCCTGCTCATATCAAGGATCAAGAGCTCCTTCAGACTGCCAATAGTCTCAGGAATTCGGCCCGTAAAGTTGTTCCCAGAAAGGACTAGTCTCTTCAAATGCACCAAGTTGCCTATATCTGTTGGCAATGTTCCAGTAATTCCATTTTCGATCAACACCAAGGATTGCAGCTGTTGGAGATTACTAAAAACAGTAGGCAGTGATCCAATAAGGCTAGGATTCGAGCGAAATTCCAAGGTTTCTAGTCTTGTAGCTAACTTCTCCCAGTTGTTACCAGGTAAAGTGACTAAATTATGAGGAGAAATGAAGCAATTGTAAAAAGATAGAGATTTGAGATACTTAAGCTCAAAGATTTGTGGTCTAAAATCAGGGTTTTTGGTACATGTAAGAGAATTGTCATGAAGAGGTCCAATACTCAGATCAGTAACATACCAAAATTCATTGATGAGATCACATGAAACACCCTGCAGAATAGAATATCAGAATAATATTACCAAAAAAATGCACATGTTTGAAATTATTTCAACATTACCATATTTGTATAGCAAGTTCAATAATGTAAAATTGTAAATGTAACCACCACAAGAAATTGACATGTTTCACAAGAATAGAATAAAAATTAGAAATCACCTTTAACTGTATAATGAACCAAACTTTGGAAATTTGCATGAACAAAGTAATGGATTTTTTCGAGTTTCAAACTTAGTAAAGTTGGAAACTTTTGAAAAATAGCAAATTTTCTACTGTATTTTCAAATATATGAAATAATCATTGCACAATCAATTCAAACTTTTTTATGATGATGAGTTTTTGTACCTTAGAAACAAAATTGGCATAAGAGACTTAACAAGAAATAGAAAGTAGGGACTCAAATTATATGAACAAAATTGGAAAATGAAAAAAGCATAATCAAGGATGCAACTACATGTTACAAAACATTGCACATGAGGCATCCATAAACCTTATAATTGGGGTGGTTATTTATTGCCCCTTGTGCATGTCACTATTCTTATGCATGTCACTATTCTTGTGTTACTCAATATCCTAAGTTCCTAACCACTTATTAAAACTCTATTTCTAAGAAAAAATCAAATTATGAAATGGTCTAAGTTTGATTTATTGAGTAGGTAGAAGGTACTAATCCGAACTTGATTCGAAGAAGTTATTAGATAAAACCCGGTAAAATTAATGCTAACTAGGGGATACCCCATGGGTTCCATCGGTATTGAACTTGTCACGTTGTTAGTGAAAAAACACTGTTAACTCGATAATTAATTTTGGATAAAGTTGTACGAGTACTCCATATTAACATTTGCAAACTGCAAGACACTTTGGGCCTATGAGATAATAAAAAAGTTTGATATATTACAATTTTTTAAATTTTTTACAGGAGGAACAAAGTATTTCTCTTTAGTGTTCAATAAGATTTAATGACATTTCAACTTTAAATGTGAAAAATCAAGTTTGACCAAAAAATTTACATGGTATTTTGGTAAGCCCAAACAATTACTCAAAATAGTGAACAAACAACAGTGTTTTACTATTCTAACTCCATTAATGTACAAAAACCAACAAAAACTTATCACAATACACATAAAATCAAGAGAGAAAAAATAGCAAAATATGACAACATTGAAGTACAATAATATACATACATACTGTATATTTAGTAGGTAAAAGTAAACTATATTCTTCCAAAAAAAAAATTAATAATGTAAAGTGTAAACATAATAATAATGCCATAAAATTTACACAAAAATATGAGAAAAATAATACCTGAATTGGAGTCCAACCACAAGGATCGGGATAAAGATCTGAACCATTCCACCAATTACCCAAAAAACCTTGAATTGCATTGTAAAGTGCTTCTTTCTCTGTTTTCTCCATTATTGCTACTTCATCTGCTGTTTCTTCTCCATTGCACCACTCACTTTCCATGGAAAATATGAGGAGGGAGAAAATCACAAACCATAATTTTCTCAGAATTCTCTTCATGATTGTTTTTTTTTACTAAAAACCAAGAAAATTATGGGTTGAATATTAAAAAAGAAATAAAGTTCCTCTGTTTTTTTACTTATTTGAGACCTATTTTAGTGCAAAATTAGAAAACCCCACAATGGGAATTGAATAAAGATAACATCTTTATGAAATAAAATTGGAGAATAACTCACTAGAGGAAGAAAAATGCATATGATATGATTATTATAGAATAAAATGAGGGAAGAAAAAAAAAATCAGAAATTCAGAAAACAGAGGAAGTAAAAACAGAGGATGTTTCACAAAAAGATGTACTCAAATAGAAAAGGCACTGAAGTGTAAGGAAGAAAAAGGCTAAAAAGCAAAGAGAAGAAATAATGCACAGTTTTCAAAGGATGAAAATGATATTATAGCAAATAAATGATAATTACTTTGTAATAAAAAGGGGATAATTAATAGGGTAAAAGAGGGGGTTGGGGCTATGAAAATGAAAGAAATGTGGTTTTAGAGAAATGGAAAATAAACTTTAAAAGTGTACTATAGTGTTGTTGTTTTCTTAGGGGCAGACTTGTGATCTTGTTTCAGAATGCCTATCTATCTCTTCATTTATGTGTTGTTACTACTCTCCCAAGAAAATTAATTGGTGGGAGGAGAGAGAAGGTGAACTAATTGTCTAATTTGTACTAGAATAGTTAGTATGAGTAATTATTTTGTTGACTAGGGTTTAGTGGTTGTTATCTTGCAAAGTTAAGACTTAAAAGTAAATAATTTAAGGTATATAGCTGAAAGTAAGTGTACTTTAAAATTATAATTCTTATTAGATAAACAGTAACACTGATCGACACGTGATTTTGTAATACAAGAGTAAGAGAGGAACTTAGCTTCTACAAGTATTTTTATACCGGTATAAGTTCTAACCAACTTTTACCTTATCTTCTATGATGTAGTAAAAGTATTCAGGATGATATTTCATTGGATTTCTAAATTTGATGTTAGTTGATTGTTTTAGTAGAATGAGCTTTATACTTTGTTTTAATTTGTAGAATGGGATTTACAAGACAATGTATAATCATATTTTTCTACCCAGTAATGTTCGACTTAGTGATAAGCGTTTGATCTCATGACTTAAAAATATTTACTTTTCATATAATCAAATTCCACTACTGACTCTTTTAAGAGTCAGAGTTCCTTAGATTGTCAACTTGGTTAAATCTTTCTCCTTTTACAACATTAAAAGTAAATAAAGTTAAGTTCCTACCATTTTAGTAATAAGTATTATACAGTTGTATACAATTGTACACTAAAGAGTAATTACTAATTAGATTTACATTAATGCAAATTTAATTGTTTTAGGGGAGTAGGGAGGTTGTGAGGGGACCAATCGGACACTTGGTTTGTTTGCCATGCAAAAACAAGGATATAGATGCAAATGTAGTTATTAGATCTAACACAGGACAAAGGAGGGGTTTAAACAATGATAAAGATGGGTATTTTCTTTCATTTTGGGCCGTTTGAGCTCTTTAACAATATCAAGGCAGCAGTGAAAACTTTTGGAAACCAGAATCTGAGCATAAATTGTAAGTATATGGTCCAACCAAACTAGTTTTTTCATGTTAGGTTTTTAGAGTGTCAACTATATTTCCTACTTCAATCTTTTGATACTTTTATATAACCGTAAAATTTAATTTTGGACCAAAGATATAATGTGGAATGTGGACCAAAGGTATGTTTTTTAAGGAAGATTGACAAGTATAATTCTAAATTTAAAATATAAATAAAAAATACTACCTAATTTTAATTTTAATACGCAGTATATTTGTCAGTTAAAAAAATCTTATAGAAGATGATCTATGTTGTTACTTTCCTATCACCTAAAAGACTAAACTCCAATTTAAAAAATCCTTTTTTATAGATGTCAATTAGTTTAATTGGTAAAGTCTTTGGGGTGCTATTCAAAACTTGGGATCAAATTCCTTCTACATTACTACCGTTAGTTGCATCTTTACAAAAATAAATAAATAAATAAATCTGATAGGTTTGGTGGTGGAAGGGATGGTTGGTAGCACTGGTAGAGTTGTTGCCTAAGCATTGGTGGTTTTGCAACACTACAATTATAATACAAAGACAATATACAGCTATGATGATAATAATGTGAGGAGTAATCGTTGCAGTTTTCTTTAGGGCAACGGTAAATATAAACACATTTTTAGAATGAACAAGGGGAATATGAATTGTTACATACTATTGGTTGTGACGGGTGTGATATCTATATGAAACATGTCAAGTAAAAAGAAATACTACGAGCTTGTTCTCTTCAACTTATTTAAGATATTTCAAATAAAAAATAATAGACTAGATCAAAAATATTCAAATCAAGCCAGAAAAATTCAGATCAGATAAGATAAACTTGTTAAACAATAACAAGAACAATCAGACAGATCAGATCAGATCATATTAGACAAATTCATACTAGACTACACCAAATCATAAAATATTCAGACCACATCATCTTATTTCAGGTGAAGAGAACAAGTCTGTACTTATATATTATTATGTTTTTACTCATCTAATTAATTCTCTTGTAGGTTAGTCTTACTTTGTACCAATAAAATAGTTAACTACTCCGTAATACATTAACTCCATCAAAGTTGAGAAACAAAAAGTAAAGTAAAGAAAACCAAAGAAAAAGTAAATAAAAGTTGGTGTAGTAAATGTACAATATCGAAGGCTACAAAAGAAAGATAGGCGCAGCAGATCGAGGTACTAACTAGGACCACGTACGGTGTTGGCATCGGCGTATGGCGGACGGCCACTGTCACAGGCTCAGCCCACACTATTGTCTACTGCTTGCTTAGCAGGCCTATGCCCGTTGACACGTCTTTTTCTTGTCATTTACTTTCCTAAGTTTACATTAACAACTACTCCTCATTCAAGTTCCTTCTTCTTTTGCTTACTTCTTTTTTTACTTGCCAATTTTGATTGTTTTATGTTGTACTAGATTTTACCTCTTTCTTTACTTTTTAGGGTTGGATTTTGTATTACCATATTATTGGCTAATTAGCTCAAGCTTATTGTTTATAGTTATAAGCTTAGTTTTGATAGGTGGATTTGAAGATTAGTCATTTCTTAACTTATGGTTATGTGGTTAAGGATTTTGATTTGCATCCTCTCTTGTTGTTAACATGGTTGCATCAAATAAATGTTTGTCTAGTTTGTCAATCATGCAATATAGATCTTTGAACAATCATTAAATAGTCATAAAAGTGACTGGTTAAAAGTTTCTCTTTCTGCTGTGTGTTGATTGACTTTATTCGTTTATTATTATAATGATACTGGATTTCAATTTCTCTGCTCAGAACAATCAATTTTCAAGAGAGATAAGCGAGTTTACACTTAGCAATCATTCTGTAAGAGCAAGTAATTAGCTTTAGCGAATTAAGGTTATTATGCGTATTTTCCAATATCTTTTGTCATATGTTGCTGAATGTGAGTTATTCGTCGTGTGTTGATTGTTATTATATGTCCTATACTATAATGAATATTGTGATCCTACTAGTTAATCTATGTATCTAAGAAACATTAATGACATCTAGCTAGGTCCGTTGTGACCAAATCATTATATAGATTCAACTATAAGGTGCCCATTTCATATTTATGTGGTTAAGGCTCCTATCAATATCTTTTATTGTTTGCAATTGCAACATATAATCCCTACTCTACTCTTAAACGGTGACTTATGTAGCTGGGTGGTTTACTTGTAAGGGGCATTCATTCGGTAGAGTCTTTTATCTTACTCCCTAATCCCGCCCTCCAAAAAAAATACAAAAAATACTGCAATTTGTCTAGTCTGTAACATGCAATTTGTTTCCCTTTTTGGCTAATGTTATTTTTTTTTTGTACATCATTCGATTTACTGGTGTTTGCTGCTCGCCATAAATCATCGATCTTGAATCTTTAGTCGGCATAAACAAAATTTAGCAGTAAGTTTGTGGGTGATAAGCAAGTTCGTAGATGTAGTACATACATAAGGTACATTAATACAAATTTCCTTTACTGTTGTGATTCATTGATCAATCAATGTTTTAAAGTTCCTATATACTACGTATTACGTAATAAATTGTAGATGAACTCTGTATAGTAACAGAATTCTAGTCTTAGGATGTATCATGACATCAGTTCGAATGACTTGAAATCAGCAAAAATGATGAAACCCTTTTGAATCCTGCCAACACAGGCGTCGAACGGCCCAAGACTTGTGATCCTTTACCTTGTTTTGACTGCTTCCATCACGACTAGAGGATTAAGAGAACCTAGTTACACTTTTACCAGGCAAAAGACAATATGTAAGCAAGAATTGAATGGCCTATTTCATAATATGAAGTAAGAACCACAAAGGTGGAGGATAACTAAATATCCATGTTTTATCACAAATTTATGGGACAAAAAGATTGTCAGACAATACCTACTGATAATTATGGTACAATCCAACTTAAACTAAGCTGCATGGATTTTGTAATTACAACTAACAGCTACGGACGACTTGTGAATCATGATGTAAGGAATTTCCATAGCTTCTTTCCTACTGAGGCTTGACCTGGATGATCATCTTCATCGTCATCGTCGTCATCATCATTATCATCATCCATGTCACCATCACTGCCATACTCATCTTCGTCATCTTCGTTCTCATTGACCATGCTTCTGCTATCTTCTTCTACATTTTCTGATGTTCCATTGGCATCATTCAACAATGTATCTTCAGCTGTCTTTTCTTCTATATTCTCAGCCGGTTTTGCAACATTGATCGCTGCATTGCACTGCATTGAAAAATATATATATGAGCATATAAGACTGGCTACACATGTTAGTCAAATTGAGCAACAAGAATAATATCCTCACCGTATAAGATGAAAACTCAACACTTCTAGTGGTTGAAACTTGCACAAAATGCAATCTTCTGTCACTCTCAGCAGCAACATCCAATGAATGAACAGGTGTTTCATCAAGGTTTTGCTCTGCTGGGTCGTTGTCTTTATGGCTAACCACATCATCATTATCAGGTTTACCACTTGAGGCTGGACTGTTTGATGTTACACAAATATTGGAATCAAAATGCAATCTAAAAAGTGAAGCTACTAATCACTACAAGAACGGTGCTACAGTACCACTGGCTACTTCCAGTTTGCATATGTATAATTTTATCATGAAACCTACAGGAACATGTCAAACTGCAGCCGATGACAGGCTTTCAAATGTTTATATACCTAGAATTAAAAAAAACCTATTCAGGCTTTCAAATGTTAACTTCAGATAAGAGTTAATAAGTACTACCCAAGTTCAATTTAAAACGAAAACAAGGTCTAAGAGTTCATATAATTACCAAGCTAAGTTTGGTCTAGTGGGAAGATTGCACCTTCAACATTGAGGTTGGGATTCAATCCCCACTAGAGGTACTCTGAGGGTTGGGATCCCTTACCCTTCCCCCTCACTTTCAAAGTGTCTAACCTACAAATACTTTACCAAAATAATTGTGTAGGTTAAGGTCTCTGGTTAGGGTCCTTTTATAAGTGAGAATCAAGTAAAAAGAATGCACCCTACGAGAAAAAATATGAGAAACTTCCGTCAAATATAAAAATAGAGGGGGGGGACTCGCCTATCAATAAAATTAACGGCAAATCTTCATAGATGTGCATATTGACAGCAACTTTTGCACCGTGCAATTGCTTGAATTTGAATTAAAAAAAACTACCATCTTTTCACAAGTTCTTTACATTTTCTTTTTGTTTTAGCACTATTCACAAACTCCACTTTGACCATTGCAAGTAGTAATGTACATATGTAAAGAAAAATATAGCCATGTAAGGTCTTGTTGGATTCGTCTGAACATGTATCATCAAAATATCAAATCTTTATAATTTATTAATTTTTACAAATTCAGAATTAGAGATATACATGCTCAAAGTTTCACACTGGAACAAGGTAACAAAAAAATGATGAGAACATTATTAAACAAAGGTTGCAATTTAAAACTGCATACTATATCAAAGTACCACATTTGAGGTTGCAGAATCCAGATAAAGGCTGGTAAATTGTTTAGTTTCATGAGATTAATTCAATCAATCAATCTTTCATGAGATTTGTTATTTTACCAAAAAGAAAACGTCTATAAACAAGCCTTTTAAAAGGCAACAGTTTGTTTGGTACGGCTAAAATAGGGGTATATACTCTATATAACTGTTGAAAGAAATATCCAAATTTCTGTTTTATTTATTCATAAAATAGATAACACGAAACCAAAAAAGTAATAGTTGAGCCACCCCCTCATTGATTCATTGCCAATTTAAAGGTCATCAATTCACTCAGCTCACCTAAAGTATACATATGTTTCTCAATATTAAATATAAAACTCTCTTCCCATATGTCTACACAGCTCTTGGGAATTTACTTTTAAATGAGAAGATTCTTCAGCACAAATCAAATAGAAAAGATAGCAATGATATATAGTCAAAAAGTCTTAAACCAGTCACTTGTTCATCTATTTGGGGAAAAAAAAAAGAAAAGATAGGAAAAAGGTGAGCTTTGCTGCAATAGAGATATTTTTACGCTAGAATCTATGCCATCCTTTTTTAAGGGCTTTCTTGAAATTACACTCATGAAAGATTGACATTAATCCCTGGATAGAAGGAATATTAAACAGCAAAGACAGATATTGGAACAAGAAGGTTGCACTATTTTATATCATCACAGGTTTAAACAAGTATCAAGTTGTCAGTTGCTTGCAAAGGAAACAAAAAGTGATAAAGGCTTACACTGCATGACGCCTAAGATTGTATCTCCTTTGGCCAGGAGTGGGTAAAGCAGAGTCAACCGTTTGTCGCCTCTTCCGCCGACCACCAGTTGTCACACTATCAGTATTTCCCTCACTATGTTCAACATCCTGCTCACTTTCAGTCACTTTAGAAGCCTGAGAGCGACTGCGCTTATGGGCACTGGTAGAATGTGTCATGTCAGCATGTAGAATCTTTCCCTCGTTCACATTTGCAGCCACAGAATCATTCTGCTTCACATCCATCTTTCCTACTGAGCTATCCTTTAATATAGCCTTCGCATCTTCAACCACTTCTTTAACAGAATGTGTCCTTCGTACTCCAGGACCACGCTTCCTCCCAGGTTTTTTGCGCTGTCCATTCTTTAAACCAGATTTCTCAGGTTTCGAAATGTCTTGCACTTCACTGCCATTATCAAACTCGTCAACTGTCTGAGAATTTTCAACGTTATCATCTCTAACATCAGATTGGGACATATTCATGGCATCGTATACTTTTGCAACTGCTGGACCCAATTCTTCAATAGGAGAAGTTCCAGCCCTCACATTTACTTCATCAGTAGAAATTTGTTCCCTCACATGCTCATTTGCTTGCATATGTGTAGCAGATTGTGAGGTTTCTTCAATAACATGATTATCAGAATGTTGAATTCCCTTTTTAGGAGATAAATTGTAAAATATTGAAGCACACTTCTGGAGCACACTCATCTGCCCACCTATAAGGGGAGGAGACCCTGCTTTATTTAAATCTCTAATAGAAGCATGCTCATCCTTAGCATCTTTCTGATCCTCACAAGAAGGCCTAGGGAAATGAGAAGACCCCTCCACAGTTGGTAGCTGCATATTACCACTAAGAAATGCTTGAGCAGAATCTCCACAGCTTTTGCAGCATTTGATCTTCTCAATTATAGAACCAAAGAGCACCCTCTCACTGACCAACTGTTCTCTCTGTTTCTTCAGCTTTTTACTAAGATCATCAAGAGCCTTAATATCCTTAGATATCTCAACACGAGTTTCTTCAAACTGTTTTTTGTTCAATTCCAGTTCCTCCTTTTCCTTCTCCACGTGACGCCACTCAATTTCCATTTCTCTCTTATTTTTCTCAGCATCTTCCTTTAAAAGCTTCAGATTACTCATATTTCTCACCCTCGTTTCTTCCAAAGCTCTCTCCTTTTCTTCCATAACCTTCTCCCACTTTTCCCTTCTTTTCTGCATGTCATTATAAAGATCCTGTTTCTGCTGCTCAAAATCTTGATACATGAGAGCCTCCTGATTTTTAGCATCTTCAGCTAACATTGACTTCTCTTGTTTCATCGTAGCTTCAAATGATTCAATCTGTAATTTAATGCTCTCTGACTCCAAACGCAGACGTTCCTTATTCTCAGCTCTTTCCCTTTTCAATCTCTCTTCTTCTGAGTTTCGAAACTTTTCAAAATTTGCTTTCTTTTCAGCTAGCGTTTCAAGCTCATTATCCACAATAGATCGTTTCTCATCCAAAGCCTCCCAATCTCTCTCGAACTTCTCCCTTTCAAGCTTCAAATCCGCAGCTTCCTTCTCTATGAGCTCACTCTGACGCCTCACGTTGTCTATCTCCTGCTTTAAACTTGACCGCAAGCGAAGATACTCTAACCTTTCTCTCTCTGCATCTTCCAAAATTTTTCGTTCTTCCTCAATATGCAGTTCCTGTTCCCTTGTGTTGATTCTCAACATTTCAATGTCCTTTCTTAAAATTTCCAAATTTTCTTTCTCAGCAATAACTTGTTTCTTCTCTGCCTCCAGACTTTTGGCTTCAGCTTTTAGACATTTTTCTTGTCCCTTCAAATCTTTATTCTTTACTTCGATGTCTTTTTCTTTATCTTTCAACCTCTCAGCCTTCTTCTCCAAAGCTAGTTCTCTCTTACCAAGCTTCAGCTCAAGGTGATTGATTTCACTTTCCTTTTGATCCAATGTCTCCTTTCTGTTCTTTATTTCCTCTTCAAGAGCTGATTCTTTTTGTATTATCTCTAGCTCAAATTCATGCATTTTGTTATTTAGCATAACCTTATGCTCATTAATAAGCTTCTCTAATTCAACCTGTGACACAAAAAAGACGATGACAAAATTTCAAGGATCTGGCCCATAAACTAGCATAATTATTGAACAGGCCTCAAAATTAAAATATTATAAGTTTCAGATGTATCCATTCTATCAACAGAAGAAAGCATCACAAATGAGTTGGACAAAGTATCTTATCGCAACAACCCCATATTCCCCAATACAAATGTTCCAATAATTTGCATATTACATGTGTGGAACAGTATTCCATTTTATGTACGGATAAACCCAAAAATCTGGAGAACAACCCTTCTGAACAAATCACGTAAGTTTCTGTGCAAAACTAAATTACAAGTCTTTATATAGTACATAGTTAAGTAACCTCTGTGAAAGGCACAAAATTGCAATCTCATAAAACCACAACACTCCAGAAAAATGCCCCTACAATTGCAGGGACACAATTATACTCCAAAGAGGTGGCGATGACAAAATGGGCAAGATTGCGATTTCTATGGAAAACAATAACTTCTGAATTTGTTTGTGAAGCAGAAAATAGAATTAAGCAATTTAAGTGTAATTTTGTAGTTAGAAGCATCTGGGAGAAATAAAAGGTGTTATTTTCATAGATATCAGATATGAAATCTGTGGCAGAGAAGAATGTACAAGGATAACTGTTTAGATGAAAGAAAGAATGGGAATGCTTCAAAAGAAGCTCCTGCCCTCAAAACTTCAAAAGTAAGCAGTCTTACCCCAAGCAATATAAGAGAGGCCATTAAAAAAAATGACGATTTATCAGACATGCAAAGTTTCCTACTTCAAATATATAAAGAAATTTAATGAACGAGTATTTCTCTTGGGGACTTCATTGGAAATGGATATTATAAAGCAGCCATGATGATGATACAAAATCCACCATTGGAAGTTACAACTTACATTTTCTCTTGCATTTAGCCTTTGTTCCTCTTCTTGCAGCTGTTTTTCCCTTGCTTCCAATTTGCATTTTAAAGCTTCAGCTTTCTGCAATAATGCAGAAGATGAAAATGAAAATTTGAGGATGTCAGGTGAATACATATATGAATAATGATGATGAAATCCACCTTCTTCTTCATATCCAACTCTGCTGATTGATTCTTTACATCATTTTCTACTTTTTTCAAAGTTTCATTGGCCAAGTCAATCTTTTTTTGCAACTCCTCAAAGTTTGACTCCTTAACTTTGCTAGAGATATCAATTTCATGCAATTTTTCTTCCCTCTCATTAAGGATTCTCCGACTCTCACACAGCCTTTGTTCCCCTTCTTGCAGTTTCTTCTCCCACTCAAGCATATCTTCCTTCTGCTTCCGAAAGTGTAACTCATGGTATTCTCGCCTGAAAAGTTTTGTAAAAAAAAATATCAACATGGACTGGAAGACACAAACCCATCTGGGTGAACTAAAAAATTCAATTCAAAGCATACACCATCCATTTATTAAACTGCATACTCTTGAGTTAAGGATAATTGCTCTCTCTGAAGAATGTTTTCACGAACTTCCAAGTCTTGAAGCTTTCTGTTTAGCTCAGAATTCTTTCTATCTGACTCAGCAAGTTTAGCATCCACTGAGCGAGATCTTTTCTCAACATCCAAATTCAGTATTTGAAGTTCCTCCATTCGAGCATTTAAATCAGCCACATTAGTCTCAGATGTAGCTTTGCCTTTTGCATGTTCTTCATTCATATCACGCAAAGCTCTCTTAAGCTGGATTAGAAATCAGACAATTGCAGGCCACCAATGTTAGATGCACCATGCAAGACAATTATAATGAAGTGAAAAGAGGGTGCAATTAGATATAAGCTTATACAATGCACACTATGAAAATTAACATTATTGATTTCACTTGGTCACATTGGTTCTCCATTTGAACTAATAGCTGTCTAGCTACAAACAGAATCCATCAGAAAGAACCATATAAGTAACTAGTATACATGGTCAAGCTTGAGCACAATAACAGCCAAGCTCTAGCACATCAAACAGCTATTTCAAATCAAAAGTACTCAAAGCCATTACTCAGTCACAGACTCACTGGTTACCTACAATATAAAATTCAATACATTTAGGCAGCCACCAAAACTCAGCATTTGTAGCAAGGATATTATCAACAGCTTAGCATGCATTAGGTAAAAATATCTTTAAGCACATTTTATTTATTAAGCTAGTTTAAAGTTGTAATAATTTTGACATCACATCCTTCTAAACCAATAAAAGAGTTGGGGGTACATATTGCAAAGAAACATTCAAAAAGTTGTCCAGAACAGAGATTATCAACTTTTATAGCTTCATTAAAAGATATGAATGAAAACCATGCAAATAGTATATCATAACAAAGTACAATCAATTTCTCATGGGAAATCAATATGAAAATCTATTTAAATTATCAAGCTATCGAGCAAAGAAACCATTCGAAAAGGCTACTCGATAATAAATGAAGAGCAACATATCTTTGGGCAATGTACAACTTAAACCAAGAAAATTAAAACGTCTAATACTAACTTACAAAAAAGAAAGAGGTAGAGATAAATAAAGGTAGAACATACATCAACCAAAGACCGTCTTTCAACTTGTAAAGCCTTCTTTAAATTTTCCTCTCGCTTCTCAGCTTCAGAAACAGCAATCAGATGAGCACCCCGCTCACGCTTAAGAATCTCTACAGCTTCAGAAACTTCTTGCCCTAATTCTTCGGTTTTGGAAATTAAATCTTTTTTCTCCAAGAGCAAAAGCCCCATGTTGTATTGGTAGTCAAAAAGCTATTCACAAAAAGTAAAACAAATTAAAAGAGACATTCACACCAAGAATAACACACCTTCACTAACAAGTAGCAAAACAGTGACATAATATTTGACCATCATATGCCAAACGTTACATCAAAAGTATAATGCATTGCTGTCCTAGGTTCTTTCTTAAGAATAAGGTGATTGGGCTTTTTTTTCTTTTTCTTTTTTTTTTTTTTTTTTTTGAGGTGATAATGATTTATTGCAATTTATTTTCTTCATCACCTAAATAATCAAATATCAGAAGGTCAAATGCAACATTTTTCTGTTTAAATTTTACTTTTTAGTGTTGATTATTTATGATTTTAAGTTATTTTTCCTAATTATCTGTTGTTGAGAAAAAATAGAAAATATATAATTACTAAATTTCAAATCAAAATTTTAATTTCTTCTCAAACAACATAGAGGATTTAAAATAATGGACTTAGGATTCTTGTTTTTTTCCAAACAAGTTATATGGTATTGAATGTCACAATTAGAAATCAGGTACGGAGTATTTAACATGAAGAATTTGATATCAAATCCTTGTATCCAAATACTACCTTAAAACTTCGCATAACAATAAATGTCATGTCATTGGATTTACCTCAATGTAGGTTTCCTATATCAACATCTCATAGTTTTCACTAATATGTAGTTAAAGATATTAAAGGCAATGTTGTGAAAGTGAAATAGCTCTTGAAAAAAGTACTTGTAGTTAGGGGTGGGACATTTCAAACCGAACCGTGAAACCGTCCGTTATCGAACCGAACCATCACGGATCGAACTGTTTATAAACCGCTAGTTTTAAACCGAAAACCGAACTGAACCGTATAATGTCAAACCGAAACCGAACCAAACCGATTAATGTTAACCCGTTACGAACCGTAAACCGATAACAAACCAAACCGTTTATAAACCGTACCCGTTTGAACCGATTAATGTTAACCCGCTAACTGTTTAAACCGAACCGATTATAAACCGAAACCGTTTGAATAGTAGGAAAAAACCGTTTAAATCGAACCATTTACAACCCGCTAACCGTTTACACCAAACCGTTGTAACCTGTTAAGCCGTTTAAACCGAACTATTTTCAAACCGCAACCCGTTTAAACCGATCCGATTACAAACTGTTTAAAACAAACCGTTTACAACCCGTTCCATTCAAATTGGACTATTTACAACCTTTAACAATTTGTTAGAATTCCACGAATACATTTGATGTTTAATGTAGTTTAACAGTACAATTTTTTATACGTATAATTATTAATTTAAATTTATAAATTTTTTTGCTATTATAAAATTAAAATTATATTCTTGCATAACTAAATTAGGAGTTATAAATTGAATAAAAAAATTATAAAAAATCTGGCCACCCACCCAATCCAACACCCTCCACCTACCCACCACCGTAACCCACCCTAACACCACCCCAGCCGTCACCCCAGACTCACCCTATCACCACCACATCCCACCACCGTCACCCCAGACCCACCCTAACACTACCCCCACCCACCACCGTTACCGTAACCCACCTCCACCCCACCACCGTTACCGTAACCCACCCCCACCCCACCACCATCAACCCAGACACACCCTAACACCACCCCCACCCACCATAATTATCATAACCCATCCCACCCCACCCCACCCCACCACCCACCGTAAATACAAAAAAACCCAAACCCAAACCCCCACCCACCCCATCCACCACCGTCACCGTAAATAATAAAACCCAGACCCATACCCCACCCCACCTACCACCATCACCGTAACGCACCCCACCCACCCCACCCACCACTGTCACTGTACAAAAAAAAAAAAAAAAAAAAAAACCAGGCCCAACCCCAACCACACCCACCACCGTCACCGTAACACACCCCACCCTACCCCATACGAAAAAAATCAGAAAAAAAAAACCCAAACCCACTGTAACCCCATCCCACCCATCCCCACGAAACCCAACATCCTCGAAACCCCCCCCCCCCCAACTCACTCTAACTACTCACCCACCATAAAACTCCCTCCCTCCCTTGAAAAATCCTCCCTCCCCTCCCACCCGAACCCACTCTAACCGCCGCCGAACCCACCCTAACTTGGCCCCCTCCGTCGCCCGCAACCTGAAAAAAAAAAACAGAAAAAAAAGGAAGAACGAAAATACCTTATATATTATAATATTAATCCCGAATTTGGCCTCGAATTTGGTTTTAAAAGGCCAAATTCGATCATGAAACAACTAGATCTAGAGTTTCGTGGTCGAATTTGACCATAAAAACCGTCGTGCGTGGTGCCGGTGGACGGTGACGGAAAACGAGATGGAAGAAGGAGAACATAGATGGAAGAAGGGAAAAGAAGAAAGGAAGATGGAAGAGGAGATGAGAGAGAAAACGGGAGAGCAGTGAGCATATTAGCAGCCATGGCTCAAAAAATTGATAATATTACAGAAGAGGAGAGAGAAAACGAGAGAGAAATCAAAGAGTACTAAAGAGACAATGGTAAGAGTGATTTGATTAGTGGAAAAGAAAACACACGGATTATAAATTGGAATGTGTGCGATGATAGGCCGTTAGATGACATGCAAATCAATGGCTGATATTTAATTTAAGACGGTGACACGGATCGTGGAATGATGGATTAGGATAGTATGTTTTTTTTTTATTCATAGCTACGTACTAATAAAAACACTACTGTACTCTTAAAAAATGATTAACTTTATGTAACTTATCAATTGTAAGAAACAGAAATGTTTGGAAATTCAAATTGATTCAATACGACATATTTAATGTATATTAGTTATTATATGTAATAAATAATAATGTATGGTACGATTGGTATCATACTATCATTGGTATGAATAGATAATCAATAAATGTATCTGATTATTAAAACTTAAAACAGTTGATGATCGATCTAATTGAATACTTCTACTTCTCCATCCGTTTTCTTTAACTTGCAAGTTGCAACATATATATGTTGCAGCCTTGTAGGCACGTAATCTTAAAAGGTGATCAGAGAGGGTAAGAGAACAAAGTAATTCAGCAATATAACTTTAACACCAAAATTATGGAATAGTTACAAACAATTGTCAATTATTACTTTATTAGACTAATGGGAAATTGAATAATTGTGATTTTAATTAAATATCCAAATATAGTTTTGTAACATTAAATTATTAGTTTATTACAATATCAATTATCGATTTATCGTATTCAAAGTATCAACTCATCAAATCATGGTCATGACGCGATCTTTAAAACAAGAAGTTGATAACCTGATAATAATCAATAATGAAACAATAATACATTAATACCTTATAAATTTGTAATAGACTAATATTTAATAAACAACAACAAGACTATAACCAAACTTGAAACATAACACATTAACATGATATAGAATATGAGAATTTCTGTAATTCTATATAATCTGATATCTGAATCGATTTATCCTATTCAAAGTAGCAACTCATAAAAATATGGTCATGACACGATATCTAAAACAATCCAACAAGAAGCTGATAACCTGATAATATTTGATAATGAAACAATAATACATTATAAATTTATAATAGACTAATATGATAATATCTAATAAACAACAACAAGAGTATAACCAAACTTGAAACATAACATATTAACATGATATAAAATAATTGAATAAATGAAGATTTGTGTAATTGTATATAATCCGATGTCTGAAAATAAAGTGACAAAATACCAACTTGATATAAAACGAAACCAGCTAATCGGTCAAAAACTCTTTAAACCCAATTTCTACTCGATCCATTTTTTTTTTCACCAACCTATACTGACCTGCTAATGAAATGGAAATACTAGTCCCAACTTGATATAAAACAAAACGCGCTAACTGGTCAAAACCACTTTTTAGAACTCAATTTCAACCCGAATCAAACCGACTTTATCTAGTTCGCTAAAGAAATGAACCTTTTCAACCCGATCCAATTTAACCGATTACCAAACTAACCCGAATGATTTTAGCACCAAACCGAGTATAAACCGAACCGATATGAATCGAACTAGCATTAACTAGGGTAAACCCGCCCCTGAACCGACCCGTTTCAAAATAATTCGTTCATGACCCGAACCGATATGAACCTGAACCGACGTTGACCCGGTAAAACCGCCCCTGAACCGACCTGTTTCAAACCGATCCGATTATGAACCGAATCGTTTAAAAACCGAACCAGCATTGACCCGAGTAAACCCGCCCCTGAACTGACCCGTGTCTAACCGATCTGATTATGACCCGAACTGTTTATAAACCGAATCGTTTATGACCTGAACCGAATTTAAACCGTACAAAAATAAACCGAAACCGAACCGACCTGTGACTAATCAGAACCGAACTGAACCGACCCGCCGTTTAAATGAAACCGTTTCAACCCGAACCGTTTCAAACTGAAACCGTTTCAAACCGAACTGCCAAACCGAAGTCCCACCCCTACTTGTAGTTTCAAACATAGCCACCATTGTCCCCTTCTAAGATGAATTCCAAACTCGATTAATTTGTTGGATAGTGAATACACAATACACATCAAGAAAACCAAAAGCAATACTAAATCACTTTCAAAATGATACGAAGTACACCACATTTGTCTGTCATGATTATGCACTGAGTTACAATGCAAAAATGTAATCACTTTCTTCATTTTGATAGATATTCACTTACGGTGTGTTTGGATAGTAAAAGGGGAAGGAAAAGAAGAGGAGGGAGGGGAAAGGATGAGAAGGGAAGGGGAGGGAAGAATGATGAGTTTTCCTTCCAAATCTCTCCATTGTTGGAGAGATCAATTTCTTAAATCTAATCCCTTCATTTCTCCCCCTTCCAATTCCCTTCCTTTCCTCATCTGTTATTCAAATGAAAGATAATTCATCCCTCCATTTCCCTTCCCTTCATTTTCTTCCATTTCCTTCAATCCAAAAAATGTGTTAATCTTAACACTTATACATCCTGCCTTTGCCTCCAAGCATTGGCAACAACAAGGTTTACGTTTCGTATCGAATATTTGTACGAGTAGTTTATTATAGTTTTCCATTCATTCAAACACAGTGAATGCTTCATCAAGAAGCACAAGTTCAAAACTACAAGCATAATAACCAAATACCCAACACTAACAATGTTAATTAGAAGGTCATAATGGAATTAAAGCACCAAAAATCAACAAGTTTCAACAAAACCCAAAAACAACAAAACCCCAGAAATTCAAAACCAATAATCAAGCTCCAAAACACTTAAATACCCAACAAAAATCAACATTCATCAAATTAAAAAATCAACAAAATCAGAAAATTAACGCCAACAAACTAAATTAAAAACATAAATAAACCTCTTTTTCAAGGCGAGAAATCTTGTCAAGCATAGCTTGACGATCCTTCCTCTCCAAAGCAGACTCATCCAACAAACCCACTTCCTTAAACCTCCTCCAATCCTCCATATGACATCCATCAAACTCGACACTTTCCGGCGCCGCAAGCGAATTCGTCGGCGGAGGCGCATCCAAGAACGACGTCGTTTTGCCAGTAAAAGAAGGGGTTTGAAGGTGCCTTGGCTCTGTTCTTGGTGTCGATGTTGACGGCGTCCATGGCGCCTTACGTTGAGGAGTGAACATTTGGGAAAATTGTTTTAGGGTTTTATTTTATTTTGGGATTCAAATAAAACCCAAATTTAATTTCTGGGAATTGCAGAAATTTGTTGAAGTGATTTGCATTTGAATAAGAGAGAGAAAGTTTGCCGGCGATGAAGAGTGGGTTTTAACGGCTAGCCAGTGGTAGTTGTGCAGTGATGGAGTGTTGAGAGAGATGAGTGACAGAGTGTTCAGAAAGATTTTAAATCAGAGAAAGGAGGGTTTTTTTTGTTTAATCTTTTGCTCGTGAAAATGAAGCTGTCTTTATTTTTTTTAGGCAGGTAAAGTATTAATCGAATTTGATTCCAGGTCCTATCCAATGACTCCAATCATATGACAACGTTTAATACTTTAGTCAACTAAACTAGTTATTTTTATTAAATTGAATTAATTAGAACATATTATTCCGTATTTTTTTATGAATAAAGAGAGATCAAAATCTAAGAATATATGAAGATGTTACTTTTATACTTGTATATAACTAGATGTGTACTAGATGTATTAAATAATAAATAATTCAATTTAATTTGCATGCATTAAAGAGAGATCGAGATCGAAAAACTAGCATGCATTAAATAATTGTGCCATCTCATTGTATATAATACTCGTATTAGGCTATGTTCTCTTCACATTATTTAAATAATAAAGTACTCAGTAAAAATAATTTTTAATCAATAAACTTAATATCTCTAAAGATCAAATATAATTGAGAATCAAAAAAATAATTTAAGTCAAACAAAATTTAATTTCAATTCAACAAAAATAAAGTATTATAAAAAAAATTTCTAAATAAAAAAAGGTACTACATAAAGAACATATTAGTTGCCAACGTGCCACAATAAAACATTGCAAGGTAAAACTCAATGGAATAAAAACCTTTTTAGAGAGAATGAGTGTCATTAATTTTTTAAATAAGCATTGGTGAATTGTTTAATTAAATACCTTGTTATGAAAAACTTGGAGAAATAAAAACTTGATCATGAATTTGCTTTCCCCTTTTCATTTTAGTTGACAGAATCCTATAAGAGGAAATACAAGTTTATCCCCGTGATAAACAAATATGTTTATCACGGGGACAAAAGTGAAATGTTTGCCTTGAATCCGCTACTTGAGGAAGTAATTTTACTCTGTGATAAATGAAATCTGTTTATCACGGAGATTTAATGGGGCAGCCTCATTCTTTAATTGTGCTCGTTGGTGCATAATTTAATACGAAGTAATTGATACTTTATTGTTTAACAACAACAAAAAAAAAAAAAAAAAAAAAAAAAAAAAAAATATACTTTAAAATCACAAATAAGCAAAAACAATGCAAATAAATAAATAATACAAGTATTAGTAAAATACACATTAAGACCAATCTAACTAAATCCAAAATGGCTACGGTTTTTTTTCTCAAGTATAATGTATAATCAAAAATACTTCTTATAGAGCATATGCATAGTGTCAAAATCAAAATATTTCAAATAGAAACAAAGGAAAATATACGAAGCATTAAAACTTATATCTTGCAGGAACAAGTTTATCTGTTATTGATTTAAAAATCAGTCTTTAAATTACACAGCATACAATCATATCCATCACAACGGTTCAATACTGTCTGGTCCTCCTGAACAGATGAGAGAAAAAAAAAGTGAGAAGGCTCAACTCTTCAGTCCTCATAGCCATCTTCAAGCATTATGCAGCAATCATCTCACAGATAACCATACGATTCAACTAATGGGATCAAAGTCATCTTCAAATATGTGTACTCATGTCTGTCAAAAAGCTGGTTTCGAAGAGAAACAGCACTCCACCAAATTGTCTATATGCTTATACTTACATAAACATGGTTCAGAATACAGCAGCTCATTTCCTAGATTTAAATATGGCATCTTTGTAGTATTTGAGTTCAAGTATGCTCTCTCTGATATCATCCAAAGCCCTGTGTTTCTGCTCCTTTGAAGGTGCCTTTCTGTGAGCTGGACAAGCAAAGACACCGTAAGAACAAATTGTATTACAAAACCTTTTTTTTTTAAAAAAAAAAAGAGAGACCAAATTGTTAAAGATTAACCTGAGTTGTTGTCCACAACATAATTTTAAATACCCTAGATCCTCTATATTGAGGGTCAAATCATGATTTGACACAATAAAAACATAAGGCTGCTCAGTAGTTAAGGCCAACAGTGAATCTACTGCCAGTGGCACCGCTTATCAATGATGGGGCTGTGACACTACAACTAGCCCCCGCACCTCTTTACCTCTTCTGTTTTTGTTATGTCTGTATGGTTCGGGTAGAGGCACTGCTTATCAATGATGGGGATGTGAAACTACAGTTAGCCCCCACGCCTATTTCCCTCCTCTGATTTTATTGTGTCAACTGATTTGATTTGGGTAGATTAAGCTACATCTCTCCCTCTCCAGCAAATCACAAGTTAAGTCATCAGGCTTTGAATGCCTAAATGATTATCCTTATTGTATTCTGCAATACAGAGTTAATTAGTAAAGTGGCCTAGAATCTAGAGCTACATACAATGATGTTTAGAAGGATTTGTTAAGTGGATCAAGGTAATTACAAAATTACCTCCCTCTTTTATAAACACTATCCTGTCGAAATTGGAGAGCTTTAGAGGAAAATTGAAGCTTCACCTACACCCTCCCTTCCTCCTCTTTCCCTCCCCTTCATTTCCCTTCTATCTTGCTATCCAAAGTAAAAGCTTCTTTCTTGTAAACAGATCAGAATTTGTTTTGTGGAGGTAGAAAAAGAAATTTTAGAGACAATTTAATACTCTAGCCTATCATATATCCCAGAAGGTATGCATTGTGTACTCAAACTACATATACAACCCGTACAAATGGTATATTAGGAAACTGAGGCTACTTCTCTTTTTAAAATGGTTACAATTTTGGGTTTATAAATTTATCTTTTCCCTTCAAAGGAAAATGACTGCCAGGCAATTTGATACCAGCACCCAGATAAAACGAAATTACAAGAACATGTTAGTAGGGGATCCCAAACCACCATGTACAAAGATTGGTTTACTGCAAAAGATGAGCAATTTAATTAAAAATGCAAAGGAATATTTACCTTTAGGATACCACCGAACGCATAAGGCCTTCACGCTGCTAACGTCTACAAGGACATGAGAGAACATACTTGCCAAGTCTGGCATATATTTCTGCAAAGAGAATCAGGTTAGTATGGAAGATGTTCGTAATAAAAAGAGCCAAGGAGTTTGAAAGAAAAATGTGTGCTACAAATGTTATTTAGAAGTAATATATAGACTCTAATGGATGCAAAAACAGTAAAATGCTCATCTAAAATCCTGCAGACCAGTAACCAAAGTTTAAATTACCCCCATCAACCCAAGATACAGGGTAAAAAAAAAAAAAAAAAAAATACACACACACAGACACATACACATACATCTCCAAACCTACATGAACTGAAAACTTTGAGCATAGAAAGAAGTATGATTTCTGATGATTCTCCTCAGAATACCAGAAACACAATGATATAAATATGGGAAACAGATAACAATCATCTCCAATGAATGCAGTATGCTAGGTCTAATATATAGTCACTACTCACTATCAAAATTCTTATACTACGTAAAAATTTCCTGGCTTTTTTTAAAAGATATTACGCAAGGGTTGACCTGGTATCCTGTTGACTTTTATATCATTATTATCCTGGTTCAAGAGCCACTAAATTTGCTACATTCACTCAACATCAAGGTTGGTAGTGACTCTCAGTCATATTGATAGATTCAACTCAATACTAGGCTCAAATTATTCTCCCCTTAATGTAATTTCGTTCCTTGTCGGATGGGAAATTTGTGTCAAATCCATAAAAAAATTAACCTTGTGTTGTGTAACTAACTAAATTTTGATCAGACAATCAGTGGATACATAAGGACATACTCTATAATTCCCATCTAAATGTAAAAATTACCATTGCATATTGACAATAATAATGGGAAATTAAGGAATATAAAAAAAAACATGCTTAATCATCAATGCTAATATATAGTTGATGATAAAAGGGATGGTGAAAATGACATGATTTATACCAATTCCTTATATAAACAGAGCAAGGTACAAGTGTTTACAGTAAAACCATATCAGAATACCTTGAGAAATATAAAATCTGTGTAAACTGAGTTTCCTGCAAGAAGGGGTGTATATGTACCAACATGTTTCTTGACAAATTCTATAACCTGCACAAGTTGTTAAACATCCAGCTATAAGCTTCAATAAGGAAATACATAATACATATTGTGAACAATCAGATGTAGTTCAAACTTGCACTGTTTACTTTGTACAACTCACAAAAATGTTTTTAACACATTCAATTTTTTTATTCTTAGGTATATTTCTGGTCATGAGATGATCTCATGAAATCTGTAAGCCTTCATGCAATCTAACGTGCAATGTCAGTTAAGTGATTACAAGACTGATACCAAGAGCATGAAAAAGCTACTCGCATGAAATATACTTGTCGAAAAAAGCCCATATTTCAATACTACTTTCCTAGGTAGAAGTATAAATGAAATAGCCATTCCTATTCTTTACACCCAAACTTTCAACGATTACTTCGTATCTTGGTTTAAAGTAATAGACAAAGTCCTTGCAAAATAAAATTCTCGTTTAATTTCTAACACCCAAAGAAGAAGACCAGTTTTTTCATTTTAAATTATTGTGAATTTTTATGTATACTCAGATAAACTCTGCTACTCCGGATTACATACCTCAAATAGTCACAGGACTTTGATACACAAATTCCATAACAAAATTGAAGAACTTTGTTTTGCATAGTCAAAAGAAAAAAAAAAAAAAAACCACTCACGTGAAATCCACTCCTCTCCCCCCCCCCCCTCTTTTTATAAAAAGACCAAACCACATGTTGATGGCTATGCATTCATTGCATTGTTCCAACCCTACATATGGGTGGGGGAATTTCAGGAGAAGGGAGGCAATGGAGTTGGGAGAGTTTATCCAAAAAGCTCTATGTAAAGGGACAGTTTACATTACCAAAAGAAAAAAAGTTATATCCAATAAACCGTCAGTCAAGTCACAATGCTTCCCAGTTCCGAAAGTGACTGTAATCATAATGTACTTGACACAGTCTAAAATATCCAAAGAAATAGCAGGAAAGAAGACAGAATGAAACATGTTTTAGACAATCAAATTTTAATCAAACCTGTTGCTCGGCTTCATGTTCAGTGACTGTACTCTCAAGAACCTTCTTTGTCAACCCTGAATTCAATTTTGTTTCAGTCAATAAGCCCAGCAAATCCAAGCGAGAATTTGAACCAATACAACTAACTATATTTGGAATGGAAAATACGATACCAAAAATAGACAAACAAAATGAGATATAATTGACACATAACGAATTGCAATAACATTTCATGCATTACAAGATGACGTATAGGATACAGCAAAAGGATGAAGCCTATCGTACCACTAGCTGCATGGTGATCTTGACACCATTCATTCATTTTGTCCAAACATTCCTGTGATTGATGGATAACAAATTCCGGTCCCTGCATAAGTGCATATAGAATCAAGAACAATGAGAAGAGTACATCTATATTCAACATATTGTGCTGCATACTAAACATTTCCATTAAACATTAAGCCCATTTAAATACCATAGAATCATACATATTCTTCTACATGTGAAACTTTACATCTGTCTATACCAAAAAGTAGCGATTCCTTGGAAGTTCTAATTAAAAGCTTACAGATATTATTAAGGGCAATCCAGTAATATGAGCAGATTAAAGTTCAAATGAATAAGTTTTGACAGCAGCCCATTATCTTGAATACTTCGTAATAGATATGTAGTCTTTCATTTAGGGGCGGATGGAATCTAATTTAGTAAGCACGTATCAAAAAATGCATTAAGCACATAACTGCAGTCCAGAATACAGGATAAGATATTATTAGCAACATTCAAAGAACAATAAAGGCAGGTGGCATGTGGCAACATCAGTTGAACTTTTAAGTAAATCACATATTCTAGAAATTTGGTCTAAACAGCTAATTGAGGCCAGTATGATAAACATGGGCTCTTCTAAGATTCCCTCCACTCCTACTAAATATAAAAAATATTAAAAAAAGACAAACTAGACATTAGCAATATATAAGCCCAGGATTAACGCAAAAGCCCCTGACAGGCTAAAGCATCGACAAACTGAAGCCAAAAGAAAGACTTAATGAAGAAAAAGAATAAAGAAAAAAAAAAACACAACGATCGATGCATATAGCATGGTATATAAGAGTACAATGTATAAGATGTTAGATTTTTAAAGGCAATACTAAATCAGTCAAAAATCATAGTCAATCTTGTTCATTGTAGCCAAGTACAAAAGTACAAAACTATAAGAACCAAGGGTCCAAGATGCATACAGAAAATACTCCACACAAAAAATTCAAATATTTTGCAACCTATGATACTACCTCCGATCTTTTTATTTTTATTTTCTTATCTTCCTACTTAATATACGATAAAAAAGAGAGAGTAAGTGGAAAGTGGGTCTCTTTTGTGACTTTTTATGTACGAAAGAGAAATTCAAGTAAAGACAATGGTATTATCATATAGTATAATGTTGACCATGTGGTGGAATAAGGAGGGATAAAAATGAAAATTTTCTTCTCCATAAAAGGAATAAAGCAAACATAGGAAGATAAAAAACGAACATATCTAAACGGAAAGTAGGAAGCTTTAAAAAAATAAAAATAAAAAAAAAATAAAAAAAAAAAGACAAGAGGGAGTATACAATAATGTTACAGTTTCACCACATAAAGGCTCCATGGTACAGCTAGAACTAGAAGCCTAGAACCCATAAAAGGTGCACTTCACAATAAAATACTATAGAAAAAGTAGAGTATGTATCATCAACACAGAGCCATATTCTGACGCAACAAAGAAACAGCCCTACAAACCACAGACAGACAACAGCAACAGAGTTGTTGATTCAATATAACGTCTTTCACCATACAAGGGATCGAACTACAACAGAGGCTGAGATGTTTTAAACTCCCAGTCACAAATTTATCCCAATTCAGAAGCAGAGAAGGAAAGAAGAAGAGGGACAACTATAATGCATACAACAATACCTCAACTCAAAAAAAAAAAATACTTGTAATAAAAATTAAAAAACCGCACGGTTAAGCAGGAACCAAGTACACAAATATACCAAACCACCACCCCCACCCCCCACCCCCTCCCAAAAAAAAGCGAGGGAGAGAGAGAGAGAGAGAGATAGATACCCAGCGAGTGGAGAAAAGCAATTCTGGTTATGCAAAAGATGCTATTTAACACAAAAAATATGAGAGAAAAGACAACCCTAAAAAAGTCTTACCTCCACAGATTTAGACAAGTTGCCATCTGTTATGATACAAGCTATCTCTAATATTCTATCAACTTCAACATTTAAACCTGCATAGAAGCAAAGACAATAAAGTCGTGACCTCTTGTTATTGGGGAGTGCTACTAAATTGAAATTCAACTGATGCTTAATTTTTAGGTGAGTGGTGTCTATAAAATTGAGTCATGTTTTTCAAGCTTTCCATATGCACCACCTTATCCTGATTACCATATTTCTCCAACATTACGAGGAGGCCCCCAGGCCACTCTAAGATGACAAACTTCACTTACACTTGACAATGCAAAGGTAGATGATTCTCCGCCTTACAACTCCAAAAAAAATAAACATAGACATTGAGGATATGGAGACTTATTAAATTGAAGTCTATAAATTTTCATTAGTACTGATCCCTGTAGAGTACATTGTCCAAAGCAATGTATAAAAGAGATCAAAGCGCACCAAGACGTTTTGGAGTTCCATGCGCCTTGTTGAAGTGAGGCACATCCACCCATATAATATACAATAAAAAAAAATTGTGAAAAAATTGTTGTGTGCCTCAAGGGGGTGCACCTCAATGCGCCTAGGCACTCCTTTGTGCGCTTCATCAATATCACTTGGCCTGCACCACAAAAGGTGCATGACCCCTAATGCAGCACGGTTTTTCAAATACTAGCTCAGAGAAAGACCTTTGCTTTCTTTAGGACCTTGGAGTTGCTATTGCAAATAGTAAATGTAAAAGGAGATACTGATGAAGCGCACAAAGGAGTGCCTAGGCACTTTCTCTCCATCCCATTCTCCTCTTATTGCAAGTGTTTAAATAATGTTTCTAGTCTCTTCCCCATAAGTTATGATAGTTTCAATAATGTTTCTAGTCTCTACTCCCTCAAACAATAATATACAGGTGTTAAGAAATAATTGATAGTTCAGTATTATGTAAAAGCACTTTTCTTTTCACAGGTCACTACTTCCTTTCTTAAAGTAATTTTCATAATCCCTTAAAAAAATAGTCTTTCTATCCGTCAAGGATAAGCTTGCATAAATCTATTTACCCAAGTCTGGGATATCATGACATCCATATCATGTGCTGATTCTTAATTCTATTTAATATATCAATTAGTAATATCCCATTGGTCATCATTCTAGTACTGAGTTTGCTAATAAATATGAGAGAGAGAGACTAGCCTATATGAGATACTGAAAGTTATATACAAAGAGAGAAAACTCATTTCCTACAAAAGATTTCCACAATGTCTACAAGGACACAACAATTTCTCACCTTCCAAATTACCACTGTAAAAACTAAAGGTATGTGCTAATAGAAAACTTCTTCTGTGTCTGGACTAGGGACTGAATAGTCTTGTACTTGTCTACATTGTCTAGATAATACTGGATAGCAACTATTTCAGTATTGCTTTACAATAAAATAAGCTTTTTATTTCCTTTTTTTTAAGACAGCAACGTTTAAATAGTATCAATATTATCATCTCATTTTGCATAGATCGAATGGATCATGGTAAAGGAGACAGAATATGGAAACAAAGAAACAGCACCTAGAAGGCTAGAAGTTTTGAAGTTGGCAAAAGCTCCTGTCCAGAAAACAGGCTACAACTTACTGTGACATTAAACTTGAGCCTACATATATTTTGAAATAATGATTTTGCAACCCAGCATTATTCTTTTAGCTCTAAGAACTTTTTTTAATTATACTTATGCAAACACCTATGAAGTTTTTTTTTTTTTTTTTGAAAGAATATGGCTGCATGCAGTCTGACAGAAATGAATAGGGGAGAGGAATCAAAGTTGAGACATATAATGTGTCCTAAATCAATGCGTTCTTTGTGCAGCTTCCATATGGAAAGCAACTTGGATGTACAAAGGCAGAGAGAAAAGAGAGAAACCAAGAAAACTGCAAAGAAAAAATGGAAAGAAAGAAAAAGAGTTGTACTGTCCTCAACTATCATAATTAGATGTGTCATGGAAGCTTACCAGTCATTTCTAAATCAATCCAGACAAGGGGTAATCTATAATCTGCTACTGTTACACCTAAGTCATGTTCTTTGCTATTTCCATTGTCCACCACCAGCTTGTCATCTGAGCTTTTGCTTTTACTTTTACTTTTTTTACCACTCTCCCCTGCAGCATAATACATTTCATCAGCAACAAAATTGCATATTATTCAATAGGTATAGCATATCACTTTTGTGGTTCTTACAACAGAAACACTATGGCCTTGTTATTTCAGACAATCTCACTCGCATATAAGACAATTTCAAACAAAATAACTTTTTTCCAGGAAAGTAAGAAAAAAAAAAAGTTCAGGGAAAATTATAAGAATCTCAGATGAGTTAAAGATAAATCCATAAAAAAAAAATACGTTAAATCAAAAAGAGTTTACCCTTTGCTTATTTTGCAACAATATTAATGACGTGATAGAAGCGAGACAGCAATTGGCATTAATCTAAGCGATCTTATTAAAGAAGATAAATCACCCTAATAGATATCCAGCCTCTATAAGTCTATAGAGAAGAAGAACAATATTGAAATTAATTCCTTAGCTCTACTATTTAGAAATTATACGGAGTACAAGACAGACAAGAAGGAAAGATAAGTGTAGAAATTTGAGAAAGATCAAGCAAAAGGAGAGTGAAAGATCAAGATATGACACAGAAGAGGACAAGGAAGAGATAACACATACACGGAAAAGGAGAGAAAGAAACAATTTAGAATGAATCAGCGAGAAAGAAAAGGTCATAGAAAGACAAGCTACAAAGATGGCTTCATGTCTAGGGAACTTTAAGTAGATCTCAAGTTTCAGCCATAAAGCCAATCAAGTACAAGATGAGTACACAGGATGATCCCTCGAATAAGCCATAGCTCATTTATATATATAGTATCTGGGGGTCCATGAAGCAGCAGCTTAGTACTTCAGGAGCTATACAGGTTCACTTTATTAGAGCCATGCATATAACTTCAAGAAAATCTAAGGGGGAAGGGAGGAATAATTTTCTTTCAGCACCTATGATAAGACTTCATAAATTGGGAAACTTTACACTCTACATCAATGAAAGGCCATCATCACCACCACCAATCCTTTACAGGAATCGAATGCTAGTTATAACCCTCATATAACCTTGTGTTCAAGATGCAGGATAATTGGTTAGCCAAGACAAAGTTAATCAACCTAGGATACATTATCTAATACATTATTGTAGATAGACCCTTTAAGCTCATTCACCAAGTATCATGATCTCAGAAGTCTCAAACAGAAATGGAAGTTGATACCGTAAATGTTCTAGTAAAAACAACAAATCCCACTACCAACTAACTCTAATGGTAATTGACAAGATTCATAACCTTGAAGCACAAATTCAGTAAAATTAATTACATGGAAACAAATGGGGGTAAGCACAAACCAATCCATACCTAATTGGTCCGGGTTTAGACCGATTTTAGCAAATTGTATCACACAAGCCATAATCTTTGCTTATCATGGTTTACCGTTCTATACTTGTACAAAGTATATCATAAAACAAATCACAAACAAATAAATATTAAACCCTTTGTTTTACAATTAAACCCAATGAACTAACAAAAAAAAAAAGTGCTTTCAAAAACAATAAAAGATACCTGCTTCAGAAACGCTAGCCGAAAGCAATTTAGAAGGATCCTCGCCATCATCAAGCGCTAAAACTGAGAAAGCATTTGCGACAAGGTCCATTTTTTAATGCTTTTTCAAGTGAACTGTTCTTCAATTGTACAAGAATTAAGTTAGGTTTACAATCAAATATTGCATGAAACTAATAGTCCAACAAAATAAATCGTATATGAGTAATAATTTTATACACAATTAGTATTTATAATTGTATAAATTGTGAAAAAAAAAAAAAAAAAAAAAAAAAAAAAAAAAAAAAAAGGTGTGCGGAATTGTAAGAAGCTAAATAAGTGAGAAATTCTTGGAAATGGAGAAGTGGGTTCACCTGCTACTATTTCCTCCGCAAAGAGCGAGTAATGCCGGAGGTCGTTGATAGCGTGGTGGTTCCGGCGGAGAGGGTCGGTGGTGGTGGTGGTGGTTTGAAGGAAGAATAGTACTCTTGTTCAGCGCAAATTTCTTTTTAGTATGTCCTTTTTTAAAAAAAAAAAACCTTTTTCTCCCTCTTCATTCAAAATAAATGAGTTAATTACTTAATTTGACTTTTGCACTAATCACATGCATCATTTTGTTCAAAGTATTGTAGTGTTTTATGCCGTTACGAAGTATTGAGTACGGAGTACACTAAAACTATTTTCACTTACAGCTTACGCGATGTATTATCTTATCTTATCCATTTTTTTTAAAAAAAAGGAGTATTTGAACTTACTTGAAATTAATTATTATTTTTTTTAAAACAAAATAATTTCATTAATAAATATGCATGTACAAAAGAAATCTAAATCAACAAATACATAAAATATAATCAAATAAAGGCTATCTTCATTTAAGCTTCAATTGTTGATTAAATATTTCACTGTGGTACATCCCTCGCACACATCACCGAAATATACAAACTTTTCGAAGAGACAATCTAACAATTTGTTGTAGTCGTAAGAGTGAATATTATATGATTCACTTGAACACATTTGAGAATTTCGACAACCGTTGCAATCCCGAACAAATTTTTACCAACGAACTAGAGCAAAAGATGATTACTTTATTAATGAGCCCTAAGACACATACACTCCACTATACACTCCGTCGTAGAGAGACGGATAGACGGGCGAACATCTACACTACTTATATAGATTTATTGAAACCTAAAATGCAAAGCTATAGAAAACTAGATAAATGGTCAGAATTAGTCTAATGTTTGAATAAATTAGACTAAATCCGATCTAAATGACCAAAAAATTATAAAATCATAGAAGAGAGGAGAGAGGAGAGAAGAGGGGTTGGTCAAACGTTCAACATCAATCATTGATAAATTTTTTTTTTTTGAAAAAAATAAATTCATTAATAAAAAGTCATACGCATGTACAAAAGAAATCTAAATCAACAAATACATAAAATATAATCAAATAAAGGCTTCTTTCATTATAGCTACAATCATTGATTAGATCTTGGACTGTGGAACATCTCTCGTACACATCACTGAAATATGCAGCCTTTTCGGAAAGACAATCTAACGATTTGTTGTAGCCGTACGGATGAATATTATATGATTCACTTGAACTTAATTTAGCATTGGACAATCGTTGCAATCGCGAATAAAATTTTACCAACATCCTGGAAAAAAAAATGATTACTTTATTGATAAGTCCTAATACACATATAAACCGTAACGAAAAACAAACAACTAAAACTATCAAAAACTAACGACTCCACCATACACTCCGTTGTAGAGAGACGGTTAGACGGGCGAACATCTACACTACTTGTATGGATTTTTTAAAACCTAAATTGCAAAGCTATAGAGAAACTTGTGAAAAGGTGAAATACTCTAATTTCCGAATAAAATAGACTAAATCCGATCTAAATGACCAAAAAAATTATAAAATCTTAGAAGAGAGGAGAGAAGAGGGGATAGTCAAACAATCAACATCAATGAAGTTAATTATATGAAAGACTTCAAATATACACATCAATTGATCTGGAGCAAAAGATGATTACTTTAACGTTCAAATATTGGGATAAACTACTTGTGAGCTAATCGAGTAGACACCTATAATACTTGAGAACTTTTATCTTTTTTCTGATCTGATCAGGACTTAGTTATCTGGTCCTGATTTGATCTGAACATATCAATTTCGATTTGATCTAAAATAAGGTGAATAAAAATATGGGGGTTATCTTATGGCCTTTCCTCTCTCCATGTCCAAAAGGCAATGCCTGCTATTCTAGTATGTGTTGATTTATAGAGGTTTTTATGGATATGTTTAATTGAGTGATTTTCATAAAAATTGTTAAAAGAAACTAAAATTCCATAATTTCGCTACCTTTTATCAAAATTCCCTGCATACCTTCCACGTCACCTAAATATACAGCTTATTTGTTTATTTTAACTAAACAGTACGAAACCGCTATTTGAGGGTTTGTTTGGCATCATTTTTTGTTTTTAGTTTTCTAATTTTTAAAAACAAAAAACCAAAAACAACAAGAAAAAGGTGTTTCTATTTTTCTATTGTCCATTTTCAAAATTATCATGATTTTAACAAGTTTGACCCGTTTTTGATTCATTATATGACATATATTATATGGTTTTACAAAACAAAAACCAAAAAAATAGAAAACCATAGCGATATCAAATGAACCCTGAAATCCTGAATTAGCATATTATACTTCCATCTATCGTATGCCAACTAAATAAAGACAATCTTCTCTTCCTCCAAAAAAAATGAATAGACAAAATCACCGCTAATGAATTAGCGGTTTAGTATAAGGTAAAAAAAATAAAAATAAAATAAAATAAAATAAAAAACATATTTAGATAGCTTAACATGGAAGGTATGTAGGGAAGTTTTGTAAAACATGGATCATAATTGATTTGTTTTACTATGTAGCATTTTTCTAGAAATCACTCTTTTACTAAAAAATAATAACAAACAAATAATACCGTAGTAGCCAAGTTGGTGACTATATTTTTTCCGGAAAAAAAATAGGCGACTTCGAGTCAACCATTAAACTATTAAAGACATGTAAACATGTAATGCATCCTTCTTTTGCAGAGCGAAATTTCTAAATAAATGCAACATACATAAGAAATACAAATACAAAGCTTAGATAATTACTCTGAAGAAGCAAAAATTGAATTATATATTCCGTATATAATCAGCTAATATCATTGGTTTTTCTACCAGAAACCTATTAACTAAAGCTTAATTTCATATGGTTTCAAGTTTTCTTTGTTTATTGGATCGTCAGATGTGCACTGTTCGCTGAAGAAATTAGAGAAGAAGACTGCAACACGCTCATTTATGCGTAATCCTGATGAAGGTTAGTAGGCAAGCTGTAAGCTGTTACAAATATTGAGGTGTTTCTTCTGAATATTTAATTATGCGTGATTGCGTATTTGTGTTAGATGTAAATTAGATTTCAGTAGATATATAGCCAATGTAGGGGCATGAAGCATGATGTTAGGCAATGATTATTTGTGTGATTTTTTAATGCTAAATATATTCAATTACATAATGAAAAATCCCTTAAAAAAAAATTACATAATGAAAAAAAATTATGAAATTACATGTTAATAATATACAAATTATTATAAATCTGATCTGATACAATTTTTTAATAGATTAGTGTACATATAAGGTCTAAGTTGAGTCAAATCATCACATCAGAAAAAAATAAATTTAAATTAGAAAAATGATTAAGTATAGATCAAATAAGCAAAAAAATTAAGTGAAGTTATTTGATTAAATGTGAATGAGTTGTTTGATTTGATTAAACTTTAACCTTATATGATGTTAATGTATATTGAAATAAAAAAATATATCAATTGGGTCTTATTTGATTTAAATTGATGTGTTATTTTTAATACTACCTTCATTTTTGAAAGTTTACTATTCATAGGATCAAAATAAAATAAATTTGCCCACATTCTATGACTTATACAATATAAATAAATTAGCACATGAGATCTTATTAGATTCCACCTATTATAAATTTTCCAAATATCAACTTTTTTATAATTTTCACTTATACATAGCCAAAGATATTCATGGTAAAAAATGTTCATTGAAGACCGTGTAAATGCAAAGTGAGTCGAATCTTACAAGAAGGTGAACTAAACGTTCATAACTAATGTTGTCTAATTTCTATCTAAACTTATTTTTTCTAAAAACTTGAAAGAAGATGAACTAAACATGGCCTAATTTGCTACCTTCTATTCTTATTCTTCCCCTTCAAATAATGGCAAATTCCTTTTTTTTATTGTTTGGTCTTCTTGAAGAACATGGGAGAGAACACTTGGGGTTTGGTGGGTAGTTTATGGAGGAATGAGTAGAACATCCATGAAGGTTTTGAGAAAGATGAAAATTTTGGGTTGAAAATGGAGGGGATAAAGAAATTTAAAAAGAGCAATAAATAAAAAGTCAACGCCGGGAAATAGTCAAACTCTCAAAATCCGGCAACAGGTACCTAACAGGTATATTTGAGAAAGTTTTAATTTCTACTGTGATATTTGTGAAAGGAACTGAGATATGATTTTTGTTTTAACATGCTCCGAACTTTCTATGCATATGAAGTGTATGATCTAACTTGTGGCGGATAGTGGGAGAAATAATACAGTGTAAAGATGCATTGTATACATATATGCAGAGAAAATGGGTTGATGTGAATCTCATATGATTCAATTATTTTATATCATCTAAGGTTGAGATATGATTCATCGTAAGGTTTATGAGAATTGTCATTTATTTATGTCATCTAAAATGTATGTATGCAGAGAAAGACAGGTAGAAGGAAGGACCAAATATGGCAGCATGTGGTAGAAAAAGATGGTGGATTCATATGTAGCTACTGCCAAATATTTTATACTGGAGGAGCTTCAAGGATTAAAGCACATTTATCTGGAAAATCTGGAAGTGGTATTAGTCCTTGTCCAAATGTGCACTCTTCAGCAGCTGAACAAGTCGTCGCTGAAAACTGTTTCAATGTTACATCTAACACCAGTGAACGTCCAGAAGGGCAGCGCATCCATGGTAATTCAGCTCTTCCTCCTGTTCCAACGTCATTGTGTGTTGGAAGTGATGTTGAAAAGGATAGCTTGCTTGCTAAATTTTTAATTTTGAACAACATTTCCTTAGAGACTGTTGATAAACCATACTTCAGGAACTTTCTATGCGCAATTGCAAGTTCTGGACCTAACTATGTACCTCCAACTTACCCAAGTCTGGTTGCATATTCTCTTCCAATTCTTGAAAAGGAAGTTGAGCATTATATACAAGATGTCCGCGAGTCATGGAGCATCACTGGCTGTACAGTCAAGATTCATCTAAAGGAAAAGAAGATAAGCAATTTTTTTGAACAACCTGACATTATGGGCTATACAGTATACTCTCCAAAAGGAGTGATTTTTTTTAATGCGTATGATCCATTATCTCATAGCTCTACCAGTCAGTCAAGTCTTCCGCAATTGCTCTATGTAACCGAAAAGGCTATGAAAAAAGAAGCATTACA